GGTAAGGGGCACGTTCCATTCGCGATCAGCCCAGATGTTAAGGAAGGTGAAGAGAGCGGAGAGTTTGGAGAATGGCAGAACCAAGAGAGCGTCCTGGAGGGCAGCTGCGGGGATCTTTTGGACGGTGTTCAGAACGTGTTGCTCGGCGGAGACGTTGTTGAGAGCCAGGTAGACTGGATTACGATCGGGCGCGGCGGCGTTAGGGTTGGCGGCCTTGACCTTGCGCCAGTCGCGTACGACTTCGAGATCCTCGAGGCCTAGCTCCAGAGCTTCCATGATCTTTTCTCCGGCCATGAGAGTGCCGGTCGTCTGCTTGCCGGCATCGACGGCCTCGGCCTTTTCGCCGTCTTCGCCATCCTCCTCCTGCTCGAGAGACGCGGTAAGCGTGTTGTCGTAGGCCTCTTCCATCTCCTTCTCACGTTCTTCCTCTAGGAACAACGGCTCGTCTGTTTGTTCCCAGATGCGGATGCTCTTGTCATGACTGGCACTGACAATGAAGTCGCCAGTGTGACTCATGGCAAGTGCCCAGATCTCACCGTGGTGACCAACGAGGCGCTGGATTTGCTCGAACTTGTCACCATCCCAGTATTTGATAATACGGTCCTTGCTTGCACTGAAGAAGTTGTGACCGTTTCCATCCTTGTTGTGAGGAACGAATGCCACTGCCATGATACTGTCCTCGTGGGCCAGGAAGGCCTTGTGACAGTCACCAAAGTCCAAGCCCCAGAGACGAACGGTCTTATCAGCCGAGCAAGTGACAATTAGTTTGCTGTCATAAGAGATATCCATACTCAAAACAGGAAGCTTGTGTCCGTAGAGGTTGAGGAATAGCTTGAGTGAGTCAACGAAGAAGACCTTCACGGTGTTGTCTAGGAGGGAAACCGCCAGAAGTCGCGCATCAGGAGAGAAACGAAGGTTGAGAATATCGTCGTTGACTTTCAGGGTTCTTGTGTGTACCAGCTTGAGGCGGGGAGTGGTACGTTTGGTTCCAGGGATCTCTTCCTGAACCACCTGGAAATTCCAGAACTTGGCTGTCTTGTCCGCACTTCCACTAACCATGGACTTGCCGTCTGGGTGCACGTGGAGTGACCAAACAGGTCCGTCGTGGGCTTTGATAGTGTCGAGCAATGTTGAAGATGCAATATCAAACACCTCGAGTTCTCCGTTCTTGTTACCAACAACCACAATCTTATCACCAGGAAGGAATGCGGAACACAGGGAATATCCACACTCGAGTGTTCGTAGACAACTTTCGGTGCGAACATTCCAAATCTTGAGACTACCATTCGAAGCAGAGGCAAGCATACGGTCGTCGGAGCTCAATGCAATTGACCGGATATCTGTTCGGTGACCGGGAATGTCCACTGCCAAGCTGCGAGTGTAGTCGGGATCCTCGCTGTCGGTGTTCTTCTTGTTCGCTGGCACAACGTTGTAGGCCTCAAGCTGGTTGTTTGTTGTTGCAGCCAAGAGGTTCAAGCCACTTGATTTGTTGGTCATCCAGTCAAACGAACGAACCTTTCCACCAGTTCGCACGATAACGTGTTGGACAAAGACTTCCGATACAGGAGCGGCGGAAACATCCTCAGACTTGTCGTTATCCTCTTCCGGTGCGTTTTCCTCGGTGCGAGCCTCCTTCTCCTTTCTTCTCTTCTTCTTCCGGGCCATACTCTTTTGTACTTCCGATTGGGAGCGAATGCGCCAAACTTCAACCGACTTGTCGGAACCGTGGAATCCAACATAGTCTGAGCGAGGATGGAACCGGATACCGATTGTGCGGTCCTTGCCATGTCGGTAGAAAGTTCCTCGTTCTGTGAGAATGCGGCGACCATCAGCGCCCACCTTCTCCCTGGAGATCTCCATCATAGCCGCCTCGTCAATCGACCAAACTCTAAGTTCACCATCATTACCAGCTGTGATACATCCGCCCTGGTCAGGCGAAAGACCCAAGCTCCAGCACTCGCCATTTGATTGTGCCACATGTGTTTCAATACAGTGCTGAGAAGCCAGATCCCAGACTTTGATCAATGCATCCTTTCCGGTGGTCAATAGGAATCCGGAGTGTTCACTCAATCCGGAAGCAGTGAGCAATTCTGGCGAGGGGAAGAGGAAGTGTAGCGATGTGATCTGGTCGGTGTGTCCGCGAAGTCTGAAAAGACCGGTCTCAGTGATCAAATCCCAGAGGATAATATCGGTATCTTTTGAACCACTGGCGAGGCGCACGCCTGCGTTGTCGAAGGCCAGCTTGGTTACGGCAGATTTGTGACCGTTGAAAGAAATAATGACGGTAGCTGTGCGCGAATCCCAAAGACGAATACTTCCATCCTCGTAGCTAAGAAGGGACATAATAGTTAGAGAAAAATCATCCGACTAGGTCACGCCGGAGGACACTCACCCAACTGCGAAGATATCTTCATCTGTCATGCTCTGAGTGACCACACTGACCTGCGCTCTGCAGGCAGAATCGCGCCATCTTCCAAGTAGTTCTCCCTTCTTCACATCCCAGCAGAGAACTTCTTCACCTGCGCCGACAATGGCTCGTCCTGCGCCCGTCTGGCGTGCAACGCTGATCTGGTCATCTTTGGCCCAAACCGCATTCGAAGACGCCGAAGCGACGAGCCCGAATGTATTCGAATGCTCGAATTTACTGTATTAATATTAGCGCTTAGATCAGAGGATCTCAAATCATCAAAATCGCACGTACAAGTATGATTTCACCATCGTTGAGCGTGGATGGGAAAATTTTTGGAATCTCCGATTATTTGCTATCGATAGGATAAAATTAATACGGGCGGTGACAGCGACCTCTCCGGCTCCCCCCCACCGCCCATGACGATCACGGGCAACCTCACAACAGCCACCCATCTGCACTGTAAACCAGCCATTGCCCTGCCCGTCATGCTTCTCTTAGATTATCAGAATGCTTTGATCCAGTCACTCCTAACGGAGCGTTTTTCTGGGTACGCCTTGTTCCTCCCCTCCCAGCACTGCGACCCCGCGCATTGTATACACATCACCCCGAATCAGGCATCCGGCTAACAAGCTGAACTCAGAGCGCCCCCCGTTTCCATCGACCAAGTGGTCTCCGACTTTGATGGTGTGACATTTCACCTCTCAACCCCCGAGTCTAAGACCAAGATTCTCATCTCGATCAATGTGAAATGCTACAAGGAATTGGTTCAGTATGGAGCCCAGGAGGTGCTGGAGAGAGAATACGGTCCCTACATCGTGTCTCCAGAGCCGGGCTATGACTTCTCAGTACAAATCGACCTCGAAAATTTGCCCGCAGAGGAGGAGGTCCGGAGTGACCTGATTATGAAGCTTGCCCTCCTGAAACGGAATGCAATGGCTGCTCCTTTCGAGAGAGCATTCGACGAATTCAACAAGCTTGCCGAGGAGGCTTCCAGATACACCTCAGAGTCAGCGCCACAGGGTATCCAGGAGGGCGGTGAAGTTATGGCGATTCACTACCGCGAAGAGGAGGCTATCTATATCAAAGCCAACTGGGATCGAGTCACAGTGATCTTCAGCACCGTGTTCCGCGAAGAGACAGACCGCATCTTCGGCAAGGTGTTCCTACAGGTTCGTAATTTGCCGCAATTGGTCCGTGGATTCATAGGGAACTTTTACTAACAGCCTATAGGAATTCGTCGACGCTCGGCGACGTGTCTTGACACTTCAGAATGCCCCTCAAGTTCTGTTCCGCAACGACCCTCCCCTTGAGCTAGCCAATATCCCTGGTTTGAATGCCACTGGAGGCGAAGTTAGCTATGTCACCTTTGGTATGAATCAGCATAGTGCTCTCAATCTCTATTCTAGTACTGACCCGGGTTGCAGTTCTGTTCCCTCGACACCTGACCCCGCAGCGTCGTTATGAAAACATCTCCCACATCCAGACATTCCGTGATTATTTCCACTACCACATCAAAGCCTCAAAGGTATGCGGTTTCAGTCTTGTTCAGAATTCATCACTTGTAAAGGATTGATGACTAACCATTTAAATCGCAGGCCTACATCCACACTCGAATGAGGAAGAGAACAGCCGACTTCCTTCAGGGTACGTATTATTCAATCCAAAAAAAAGTATGTTTACCGCTAACTCTCAACAGTGCTCAACCGAGCTCGACCGGAGAATGAAGAGCGTGAGCGCAAGACTGCTAGTGGCCGCACGTTCCGAGTACAGGGTTAGAGCTTCGAATTTATTTGTTTGTATGAGCCAATTCAAGTTTATTGTTTATACACCTTTTCTTTGTTTCCATGCTACATAGCAGCATATCTGAAGTATCGGGTTTTTTAGTCTTAGCACTACACTAGCCTCAACAACTATGTACTCAAGCCATTCCTCTTAAGCAACCGAACCATACATGTCAACGGCCCACTTTCTAGACTCTATCATGGTCTATAAACATATTATTCCGTAGTACTATCGTTCGAGTCGTAGTAAACTACTTGAGCTTGTAGCAAGTTACTCAAGGCAGTATATCCATTTAAGGTGATGCTCATTCTGCACGACTTTGGACATATCTACATAGTTATGTGCGGGTCTATAGATGTATGAACCGTGGTTCTTTTCCCTTTATCCTATAAATCTTTTGTTTTTAGTATAATTTTTGCGTCTTGCCACCAATCGCAGGATTCCCAGCCCCTTAGATATTCTTTGTAATTTTTACTGTCCAACATATCGCCGTAGCAACAATTGACCGGATCCATCAATTTATGAGCAGTCGCAAACAAGAAAACCAGATGACCCTCCAAGCGTGTGGTAGATCTCCGGTACTCCGTACTGTGTTTCAAACTCTCATGTTCTTGTTCGTTATATCCTCCAATGTCTGGTCTTGTCCTTCTTCTCTTTGTGCAAGAGCAAATTCAAGCGGCTGGTCGCTCCTTCCCTCTGCGCAGAAGAATTCGGAACATAAGTATGTACTTGTAGATATCTAATACCATTCATGTTTCTTCTTCTCTTAATAATTTCATCTCATTCTAATATTGTGAAGGTCATCAGTATGGCTCCCAAGAGTTTGTGGGGAGCTGCTCTCTCCAAACTACGAAAGGCGTCTGCACAAGAATCAGACCTTACCCAGCCTGACCTCACCCAAACTCAGCATGAGACCCAATCTGAACTCATCCTACCTGTTTACCCTCGTTTCAAACGTCCCGTGTCCAACCAATCCAGCGTTTATTCCGAATTCATGTTCCCACCTACCCCTCTCCCAACTGTCCCTATGGCATCTGATTCCAACCTTGACCCTCTCGCAATGGCTTCGACCATCTCCCAGGCTCGCCTGAATGCTTTGCACTCAGGACAGGACTTGGACGCGTTTTTCAAACCGGCCAAGGACTGTATTGATGCTTATGCCCAGGCCAGCAAGGCCATGGTGGAGAATGCCTGTGCGCGTGTCAAAGATGGAGAGGACCCTCCCTATGAAGAAATTGAACAGATAAAGGAACGCTTCTTCAGATACTGCCAGTCAATTGTGGGGGAAGCTTTGTCTCTGATCAATGGTACTGCCAACCCGCGTCGCCAAGTTTCCAGCAATTCGACCATGCCTTCGCTCGTCTCCTCCAATTCAAACACAACTGGATCTGAGCCGAAAACGACCTTCAAGTCTGGATCATCTGCTGACAGAGCAGCATTTTCTGAGGCATTGGTAAGTGACTAACTCCATCCATTGGTTCCACTTTTGAAAGATTTAATACTGACCTGTTATAGCTCGCATCTAGCGGCCGGCGCAGCCTCCGTCTGTACACTGTGAGCAGCGATGACTGGGTCATGGTTCCATCTATGCCCTCGCCCACATCTCCTACCAAGGTCGTGGTTCCCGAGAACATGGACCCTGTCGAAGAATCCATTCATTTCGGTGTCATCGTGCGCATCTTTGGCAAGTTGTACACTATGTCAAAGTTGATGGAGATAATCATCTTGTACTACGGTGTTGAGGTATGTCTTGAGCTCGAAACTTACTCTGTCCCCATTCTTCTATCTCTTGCTTGGAAATACAACTGCTAACACTGACATTTTATTCTTAGAACGACAACTCCGAGACTGGTCTACCATACTGGATCAAACGCAGTGAAGAGAATGTGCGCACCCAGGATATGGTTGAGCTGATCGACACCGTCGAGAACCTCTATTATGCCCTTTATGCGCGTGTTACCATTGAGCTGGCTAGCATTGAGCTCTGTGGTTCTTACCGTGTCGACCTTCGTGCATTGCGAATCGAGCTTCCATTCCTCATGCCAGAGGCAGACCACCTCTACCGCATTGTTCTTGCGTTCAAGGACGTGTTGGACTCTCCTGAGATCTGCGCAATTCGTCGGACAGACGTCATCGCTTACTTCCAGCAAGGATACATCAACCAGGTTATGAAAAAGAAAAGCGAGCAAGAACTTCCCTTCTTTGACCCCCTCGGATTTCGCCCGTTTGCGATGAGAACTGTCTCCTACCGTCATGGGTCCTACTGTGAAAAATGGAAAGGAATCATTCCATTCTTCAACGGTATCCCAGCAGAGACCATGGCAACAATGTCGGAAAAGTATCTCACCATGACGCCTGTGACAATTCCCCCTGATGACGTTCCACTCGTCGAGCTTCCCTGGATTTACCCGGACAACGTGGGCATGGCTGTTTGGGACACAGATATTGTGAGGGATTACCGCATGTCTGAGGCCGCCAGAAGACTAGGCACAACCATCGGAGAAGAGCGCAAGAAGGAGCCCGCCCCAGGCCTTTACCAACTCATCAGACAACGAAAGTGCATTTGCAAAGCTACCTGCTCATGTGCTTCGGAGTGTACCCAAGATGTTCAGCGCGGCTGCCCCTGTGCGGAGCGACATGTACGCATCATGACGACCAAGCGTGGTCTTGCCCAAAGACGTAATGGGCCTACTTTCGCCGCCACTGCAACTACTACCGCCCGCATGTTCTTCCATGGTCTTGTTGAGCTCAGACGTGATGTTGAGCCTGCTGATATTGCCAATGAACTGGACCAGGCTTTCGAATTATTCTCTCTGTTGATTTCCGCAGAACGAGACATGGCTCTCAGGGAAGAATCCCTGGCAAGCTTCTAAGATCGCGATGTTGTCACTCCGGTTTACGACTTACGACTACAATACGACTACCCATGACAACTACGACCATGACTCCAAATACGATTGATGATTGATGATTTACGATTCCCAGTTCGGCTCATGAACTGCGATCACAATTCAAATGGATTAAGAATTCCCACAGTGGCTATTCTGTACATTCGAATTTGGTGAACACCGTCCAAAGGATTTCAATCCACAAAAGAAAAAACAAAAAAAAAGAAGAAAACAAAACAAAACAACCCCCCCAAAAAAAACGACAACGGAAAGGAGGAAAGGTCAATTCGGCAGGGGAAATGTTCGATGAGGGAGAAACCATCGAAGGGAAATAATACGAGGAACCCAGAGGAGTGAACACCATTTGACAGATAATGGAAACTGATCATGAGCCTTGTCATCTATTTGATAAAGCCAACGAGAGGTCTACATATCGAGTCTCGAAATGAAATTAATTCAGCCCCAGATGATACCTAATGTCCCGTACAGACTCGCCCCCATACCCAACGATTCACAACCCCAACAGCACAGCCTATGCCGCACCTTCAGGAACCTCATAAGTGATACACTTTGGATCACCTCTACAGCCACGAGAAATAATCGTCAGGGGCATTTTGAAGTATTCCCTAGCTCTAGTCAGCTCGGCGATTAGAGACTATGATCTTCATGGTGGAAATCTAGATAAGACCCCACTCTTTGGAATCCTTGCTAACTGCTTTTTATAGTCCATTTTGATATATTCTCCTTGCTGACTTGGGTACCGGTGTCTTCGGAAGTGTTCTACTTGGCATGTAGCTTTTAAACACCTTTGTTTTGTTTGTAATAATTATGTAAATAAAATGAAATTAATAGCTGTACGGAGTCATTTAAGGGGAAACCCCATCTTCGGCGATATAAACAAGAGGCTCATTGGATCGACAGGGATCTAGATAAGTAAACGTAGCCCTAAGAGTCGCAGGGTTTTTGTATTATCGACTCTTCTTTTTTGAAATAGATGAAATTTTGGACAAATCTAACAAATCCAAGAAATATAAAGAAAGATTCAAGTTACTATAAACTGATAAATATCAGAAATGTCGAGATTTTAACAATTTTCATATTCTCAGAGGTACTCCGTAGTGTAAGGTACAGTCGGCGGCGCAGACCAGTGATATCTTCGAGATATTTTCGGCCTTCACCGGTGAGTCGCATTTTTCTTCTCTGTGCCCTCAAGTCCTGGCATCAGTCAATAATTGTTTCCTGCTGTCTTCCTGCGTTCCATCTCTTCATTTTTCACTTTTCATGCCTTAATGCCCCAGAAACTCGAGCCCATCTTGGTGCACAGAGAGCCAAGTTAGGGATGGTGACCAAGGCAGTGTCACATTCATTATCATCATCATGGACGTCCATTAGCAAGTGGATCGCGAACATCAATATAAACCAGGCGATCCAGAGCGCCCGCCGACAACCGAGCACGGCACGGCCATACCACGCGGCAGTCTGGCCCTCCTACGGCATCACAACTCCCGTCCCCGACCAGTCCGGTTCCCCAAACTCGCCTTTTCGATTCGAGACCGGCTACGCTTTATGTGCTAAACGACCCTCACGACCCTTCCCTCCACCTTTCCTTTCCCCACCCTCTTCATCGTTCTCGGATCCTTTGACGACCCACGGACTAAGCCAGGATAAGAGATTATCCGTGAAGGGCGAGCTAATTCGCGGCTTAAACAACGGAGACGATGCAATCATCGTTGCAGAGAACTTCATAGGCGTCGACGATGGCGTAGGCGCATGGGCTACGAAACCTCGCGGTCATGCTGCGTGAGTGCTCTTATTTCACTTTGTATCCTATGCGCACGATCGCTGACTTTTTTATTCCCCACACAGACTCTGGTCCAGACTGTTATTACATTTCTGGGCCCTCGAGGTCGAAAAGAACGTCAACCGCCGCATGCCCTCCCTCGACCCGGTCGGATACCTGCAGTATGCATACGAGGAGACACTGCAGGCAACCACATCTCCTACCGAGTGGCTCGGCACCACGACATCGGCCACTGCCATACTACACTGGAACAAGGAACAAGACGGCACACAGAAGCCATTGCTCTACGTCACAAATCTGGGCGATTGCAAGATCCTTGTAATTCGACCAAGCGAGAACAAAGTCCTTTTCCGCACGGCGGAGCAGTGGCATTGGTTCGATTGTCCTATGCAGCTTGGCACGAATAGTATCGACACACCACGGAAAGATGCAGTCCTGTCCAAAATTGCGGTGCAGGAAGACGACATCGTCTTGGCGCTCTCGGATGGCGTTATGGATAACCTCTGGGAACATGAGGTCCTGAAAGTCGTTATGGATAGTATTGTCACATGGGAGGGAGAGCACGCGGAGCCGAATAATGCTACGAAGCACTCTCATCTATCGGATGACCGAAATGTCTATGTCGCCCGGGAGCTACTTAATGCTGCTCTGACGATTGCCCAGGATCCATTTGCAGAGAGTCCGTTCATGGAGAAGGCCGTGGAAGAAGGTCTGGCTATTGAAGGAGGCAAAATGGACGATATTTCGGTCGTGGTCGCGTCCTGCAAGAAAAGCGACGGATGAGAGCCATTGATTTTACGGTCGGACTTTCTTTCACTATCAACCGGATCTTGGATTCCGCGCTCGGAACGTGCGCTGGCTTTTATCAATACTGAATCTCGGCATCACTCGACAGTCTCTTGTTCCCTGCCTAGCGTCCGTGCTAGATGCCTATATGTACCGCCAAAAGCTGGTCCGGCTCAATCGCCAGTGCGCAGCTATGGTACCTTGCAAGTGCCGGATCAGGACACAGGCACGCCCCGCAGTCAAACACGAATACCCAGGAAATCATATCCCCTAGTCTCCTAGTGCGAGGCTTGATTGCCTAGTCTCGCCTGGCCATCATCATACTACTCTCCGCTGGCATCTTCCACCGGCCCAGACAACCATACGACTAGCGGGGAATGTGCATCGGCGGGTTGCGAATATACAGAAGGCCTGATGCCACCCTGTCGAGCTTGTTATTTCTTCTTATAACAAATACCCCCTCTATAATATTTGAGGCCCCTTTCTTTGTGTATTCACCAATGAGGGATTCCATTTCTGGCACGATATGGCTTTATATCTATCATTTAATAATAATTCCCGGGTTAAATGTAATAAATAATGATATCTCTCTGTCTCAATGCATAGTATACTGTGTTATTCCTCATCTTTAGTCTGCGGAGATCAGTAAATGGGAAGTATAGGGTACTTAATTTCAAGGCTAGATGCCCCACTTGGACAAAGTATTGGGTACCTCATCCTCAGCACGGACCATGGCATCGCCGCTTCCGCCCGGCAGAATGAAAAAAGTTTCGGTCGACGTAGAAGCTCATGGCTTTTGTTGCATTCAATCCTCAAATACTTGACATTCATCATTCACAATGAGGGCCAAACGTTCAAAGAAGTATCGCAAGCTTATGCACCAGTATGAGCTCACTTTCGGTTTCCGAGAGGCCTACCAGGTCCTGGGTATGTTCCATTTAATGCATTGTTCTGATGTACAGTGCTGACTTGCGCTCGAACAGTTGACTCGAATTTCCTTCGCGCGACCGACTCTTTCAAGATGGAGCTAATTCCTGCACTTGAACGAACAGTTCAAGGAAAGGTCAAGCCTCGTAAGTCGCACCGAACAAAGTTTCCCTCCGCCAAGACGCATCCCATCTAACCGTCATGCAGTATTGACAAAGTGCTCGCTCGCCGCTATCATGGCCGCACAACCCATCAACCCCAAAACCGAAAAGCCATACCGACCTCTCTTCCTTCCCCCGCCTACAGAACTCCCGCTCCGCCACTGCTCTCACAATGCGGACTCCACGCCCATCGACGAAGTCGAGTGCCTCCTCTCACTGCTTTCACCCAATGCGGAATCAAAGAAGAACAAGGAGCATTACATTCTCGCGTGCGCGGATCCAATTCTGAGAAAGACTAGCAACAACGACAACCAACCCCGCAGACGGAAGACAGAGGAAGACCGTAAAGAAGAGGAAGCTATGCGCCGTTCTCGTGCATTGCGCTCCGGTGCCCGCTCTATTCCCGGTGTGCCTATTATCTACGTCAAGCGCTCGGTCATGGTCCTCGAGCCTATGAGCACCCCGTCCGAGATGGTGCGGGATGGTCATGAGCGTGGGAAGTTCCGCGCTGGTTTGGATGTGGATCCTATGCTGGGCAAGCGCAAGAGGGATGGCGAGGATGGCGAGAGTGCTGATGAGGAAGAACCCAAGAAGAAGCGTGGTCCTAAGGTCAAGGCGCCCAATCCTCTCAGCGTGAAGAAACCTAAGAAGAAGGTTGATACGCCTGCACCGAAGAAGAATAAGGCCCCGAAGGAGGCTGTCACAGATGCTACTGAGAAGCATGATGGCGAAGAGTCTACCGCTCCTAAGCCCAAGAGGAAACGTCGTCATGCTAAAGGTCCTCGTGAAGAGTTCGAGGGAGCCGCTGAGTCTAATGAGGCTATGGAGGTTGACGCTTGATTGAATCTTTACGGCATAGGCGACTCATGATGCTGGTTATCATTGCATGCATTCTCAACCTTATTTCACTCTAGGTGCGGCGTTCACATCGGATGGGTTATATCTTAAAAGTTCAGCTGATGTACATAATAGTAATGTACATCTGATATCATTCAAGAGATCCTATAATCCCAATACATCGTAGATTAAGTGGGTGGCATTAGTGCCAGATAAAAACAGGAAAATAAAATAGCGAAAATCAGTAGTTCATATATATTTACATGTCAGATATCGTACAATTTTCTTCCCTAGAAATGAGAGGAGATAATTTGGGCTCGGTTTGCTTGTCCTCATGCATTCTCATGAGACATATCCCAGCTGTGTTGCAGTCTCGAGGCCATGCGGAAGATGCCCACAATACCAAGCAGCGGTGCTTTCTTTTCAGGTATAAGTCAAATCAAAGAATAGCCATTAAAAGCACACTCCAAACTCCATTCCCAAACATGATGGCATGTGCTCATCTCATGGCAGTCTATTGCTTCGCGGCACTAGTGTTAGCCTCCGTGGCAACATTCGCCACAGCAGGCCCTTGAGAAAGCTCGCGCTCTTTGGCCCAAATATCCTCAACACGCCGACGGTTGCTGCGCGCATCATCTCGGTTGCGCTTTGCGCGCTGGTATCGCTCTGCGGAAAGGCACTTGTTCACATCGCGCTTGATATCATTGCAGCTTCCAATGACCTTGTGTAGGAAACCCTTGGCGTGGCACTCGTCAAGAGCAGTCATGATCTCTTCGCAATCTGTGTGATATCAATCAGTATCGGCAACGGTGGGATGTGGCGGCTAGAGGGATCCTCCGGGTATGGACTCGACATACTGGCATTGTAAGAAGTGTGGAGATGAGAATGCATGATTGCGGTGATATTAGGCTGAAAAGCAGAACAACTCAAAAGACAATTGCAAGTTCAATCGTACGATCAACGCAAAGAACATCGCGGGACCGCGAAACGTCCCGGCGGTAAGAAGATCGGCCTGATTCTGCCGGGCGGAAAGCCCCTCAAGGCACACCGATAAAAAAAATATCGCCGATAAAAAAAAAAAAGTGGACGGTGATCAGTTTTGTCACAACACTTTCACAATGTCTTCCATGATTACGACTACGACATGGGTGAAGCGCGGTGTCGCTGCCCAGTTCCCTACCAAATATGAGATTGACGAGGCCGAGATGGGCCGTATATCTAAGCTTGCGCGCATGCAGCTTGAGGATGCGCAGGACGATATGAATGCTGCGCAGGAGGGATCTGGAAATGATGGTGATGATGCTATGGTTGATGATTCTGAGGAGAAGACCGCAGCTAAGGGCACTGATTCAACGTGAGTAGTGTGCGCAGTGAGGATTTAACTCGTGCTAATCTATTCCAGCGAGGATGATGATGTGCTGAAGGAATTCGACATGGATAACTACGACAAGGAGGAGAGAGATGAGGATGGAGAGAAGATCACCATGTTCGGCAATGTCCAATCCCTGGCTTACCACCAGCCCAACGAGGAAGACCCGTACCTTGTGATCCCCGAGGACGAGGATGATGAGGAACGCGAGGAGCTTCAGATTATGCCTACTGACAACCTTCTACTGGCCGGAAAAGTGGAGGACGAAGTTGCACACTTGGAGGTCTACGTCTACGAAGACAAAGCAGACAACCTCTACGTGCACCACGACATCATGCTGCCCGGCATCCCCCTTTGCACAGAGTGGCTTGATATCCCCGTTGGCAAGAACCCCGAGGGTCGGACACAAGGAAACTTCGTGGCTATTGGAACCATGGAGCCCGATATCGAGATCTGGGATCTGGATGTCGTGGACTGCATGTACCCCAACGCTATTCTCGGACAGGGAGGCCAGGACGCCGATAAGATGAAGAAGAAGCAAAAGAAGAAGGCTAAGGCCAACGACGAGTACCACATCGATGCCGTCCTGGCGCTGGCCGCCAACCGTCAGCACCGCAACCTTCTTGCCTCGGCCTCAGCCGATAAGACCGTCAAGCTCTGGGATCTCAACACCGCCACCTGCGCCAAGTCCTACTCCAACCACAAGGACAAGGTCTGCTCACTAGACTGGCACCCGACCGAGTCCACCATTCTGCTTAGCGGCAGTTACGACCGCACCGTCGTGGCAGCCGATATGCGTGCGCCGGACGCGCAAGCCCGCTGGGGCGTCGATGCAGACGTCGAATGTGTGCGTTGGGACTCACACGACCCCAACTTCTTCTACGTGACCACCGACGGCGGCATGGTCTACCGCTACGATATGCGCAACGTCCCCACCACCCCGGCCGAGTCCAAGCCCGTCTGGTCTCTGCAAGCACACGATTCCTCTGTTTCATCCTTCGACATCAACCGCTACATCCCCGGTTTCCTGGTGACTGGCTCAACAGATAAGACCGTCAAGCTGTGGAGTGTCGAGAACGATAGACCTACTCTGATTGTCACGCGCAAGCTTGAGGTCGGTAAGGTGTTCTCTACTTCCTTCGCTCCCGATCAGGAGGTCAGCTTCCGCTTGGCTGTTGCTGGTAGCAAGGGTAATGTGCAGATCTGGGATGCTTCGACTAACGGCGCTGTCCGTCGTGCGTTTGTGTCTCGTCTGCCTGATCTTGCTGGTGAGGTCCAGGAGCGCACTGTTGGTATCAACCCTGATAATGATGAGTCTGATTCGGATGAGGGTGAGGATGATGGTGAGGGTGAGGGTGAGCCTCGTGGAGGTGATGGATGGGAGTCGATGGATGAAGACTAGTTGGATACAGATACCCGTGGATCCTTCCGTTTCATATGCGCCAAAAAATAGATTTGCTGTTGGGTTTTGCATGTTAATGACCAGTCTGTTATGAAGTTTTGGAAATATGAGAACAATTCCAATGACCTTGCATCACAGCATATTGTAAATTAACAAGTACAAGCACCATTTTTAGACAATATCTAATCAATGTTCTCTGTCCATGAACAAAGAATCTTGACTGTCAACTTTTTCGAGTGAAACTGCGCCATTGCTTACAACGGATGCTAGATGGGTATATATGTACCTTGTTTTATAACGTACCCGAAAAGAAAAAAAAAAGGGAAAAGTGCAATAGAGGCGGGGATAGTATAAATTCTCAGACACATTTGTAACCATCAAGCCCTAGTTTAGTCACAAGGGAGTATACTAGGGTATCTGGCCTCGCAGAAATCTGCTCTACGAAAATGCAGTGCCTAGCTATGATCTTTACACCTAGAATACCCGATTTACTGTCTAGAGAATACCTTGACTTAATGTACTAAATCCCCCTAACACGTGACCTTTATTGGCTTCCAAGGTTGACATTCTTTTAGCGGACCCACTTAATGCAACCTTATTCTAAAAGAGACCCCACCCGTCGACGCCAGAAAGGGTGATATTTGGCTTCATAATTCTACTAAAAATGTTGTACCGAGTTATTCACTTATGTATCTTGAAATATTCCAAACGCTGAGTGCTAGCTAGATCTAGCGAGTTATCAAAACTTTTTATATGAAATTTACCGGAGTCAAAAACTACTCATAGTTAGAGCTTGACTTCCGATAGCTCCTAGGTAAATATGGCAGCGCATTCGAAAGGAGGTGTTCACTGCTCTGACCAGGAAAGAGTAGTAGTGGCGTTCCTACCTTTGGGGGCGCCCATCAATGCCGCCTTCGTCGGGGCTGGAGCTTCAACCCCGGGTTTTGGCGATCAATCATCATTATCCCAAGTATTACCGTATTAGGAAGGTTGCGGCGCATTGTGCTGCGGGTGGGGGCTGAAAGCTACGATCAGGAAGTGATTCGCCTAGCCTTTCTGGAGACCCTCTCAAATATAGAAATGGCCCCGTTCAACATGCCCTTTCTTTTGCTCTGTGTGATTCACCCTGAAAGAGTAGCATAAAGCTCCAGACTGATACACTTTGATCTACCACCATCATCTCCCATAATAATCAATATGGCACCCCCGACTCATTTCAAGCTCAACACCGGCGCCCAAATTCCCGCCGTAGGACTTGGTATGATATAAGCTCGTCTCTGTGGTCCTTAGCGGGTTTTTCCTAACAAGAAATACAGGCACTTGGAGATCTGAACCTGGTCAAGTCCGGGATGCAGTCTCGTTCGCTCTTAAGAACGGATATACTCATATTGACGCGGCATTGTAAGATTGCGATGTTTCCTTTGCAGTGAATAGCCTTGGCTAATAAATCGCAGGATCTACGGTGGGCATTAGGTTAGAAAAAGGAAGCACGTCCCTGGGATCTAACGGATAAACAGGAAACGAGCACGAAGTCGGCCAGGGTATTAAGGACAGTGGTGTCCCTCGCGAAAATATTTTCATCACCAGCAAGCTATGGAACACTCACCAAAACAATGTTGCGGAAGGTCTCCAAAAGACACTTGAGGCTTTGGGCACAGACTACCTCGATCTCTACGTAAATCAACCCTCTTCTTCTTTGGGTAGACGCACGGCTAACACAAACATCAGCTTATCCACTGGCCAGTCCGACTTGTTCCTGTAAGTCATTAGTGTTTCCCTTCACGACATTTGCATAGCTAAGTTATTCGCACAGAACGAGTCGAGCGCGCTGCTTCCTGTCAACCTCGATGGCACACGATCAGTCGACCGAACCTGGGACCAGAATGAGACCTGGCGCCAGATGGAGGAGGTATACAAGGCCGGTAAAGTAAAGGCAATTGGTGTGGCCAACTGGTCGATTCCCTATCTAGAGGAGCTCAAAAAGAAGTGGACCGTGATCCCTGCTGTCAACCAAGTCGAGTTGCACCCTTTTCTTCCTCAGCACGCACTAAAGGAGTGGTGCGACAAGCACGGCATCCTCCTCGAGGCGTATTCCCCACTTGGCTCTGAAGGTATGTGCACGTTTACATGCTCTATAAAGCTTTGAAGTAAAGCTAGCTAACGTGGTCGATTGCAGGCGCTCCGCTCATGTCTGATCCGGCAATTCAGGAGATCGCTAAGAAGAATAACATTCCAGCCGCTACGGTACTCATTAGCTACCATGTCAACAGGGGCGTTGTTGTACTGCCCAAGTCCATTAAGGAAAGCCGAATCATAAGCAACGGTCAGATCATTCCTCTATCCAGCGAGGATATGGATGTACTGAATGGCCTGGCTGCGCAAGGAAAGGCCAAGCGTATCAATACGCCTCTGTTTGGATGGGATCTTGGTTTCGATGACTGGTACACGCAGTAAAGGCCTGGAATTTGTAGCTAGGATTGAACAATACTCTATGAAAAATGTCAATCTTTATAGACTGAAATGGTCCATTAGATGTAAATCAGGAAATCCGCTGGTCACTAAAGTCTGTCCCGAGTCCTGACTTGAAGTAGAATATAGCACTGGTTTCTCTTTCATCCACAGCAATCAATGGCAGAAGACATCCAGCGATGGGAGGAGTATTGATTGTTGCAGCTCCTTGGAAAGCCAACATTAGAAGATATTTATTGACCCCATAGATATAGCGCGGTAGTGCGGAGCTTTTCGAACTTGTCTAAGACATGATCACGATGTATATAACACAGAATATGGCCAAATCTATAGTCAAAAGACACGATTCCTGTAAACCCCCAATACGGTGCAGAAATAGAGATTATTGGTTGTTTTCTTTTACAGCACACTTGTTTGAACGCGCAATCAATACATTTTTAGAGGATCTAAACTTTGTAAGGGGGAGGGGAAACGCCCTCCTCAAGGGCTTTCAGACGCAAAGCCAATAATTTGGAGGCATATCGGGTCATTGGAAGGAAACCAACCATGATCCACAAGTTGGGCACTCCCGTCTCCCTATAGGCTGTCTTGTACTCGCCTTCCTCGTCAATACCCCAAATAGGCCTACATTGGCTGGCAATCTTCTCTCCAAGCGTCGCGCGAATGGAATCAATCGTGTTGGAAAATCCGGTAGCAAAGACGACTAGGTCAAACTCCTTCTCACGGCCGCCGTTTAAGATCACTTTATCCTCAGTGAACTTCTCAATAAAACCTGGCTCTACCTTGATGTTGCCATTGATAATTTCCTCGCAAGCACCGGCATCAAAGTAAAACCCGCCGTTTCGGGTCTGGCCAAGTGTGGAGTTGCCAGTATCGCGCTGGCCGCGCCATGTTCGCAGACCACGGGCGTTCAGAGCTTCGAGAAGAGGCCTGTCCAAGTCCTCAAGAACCTTAGCAGTGCGCTTGGCCAGTTCTTCCCCGGGTCCAACTGGCGTACAGAAGTTAATACGATCCATGACATCGGTATCGGGGAGGTTGCCGTTCTTGTCGGGCGCGTAGATTCCAAGCATCCGAGGAACGGAATGGGTCAAAGACATAACATAAGTCGGTGAGCGCTGGAGAAGAGTCACATTAATTCCGAGACGAGCGCACTCGTAAGCTGTGTCAAAGCCCGAGGATGAGGTACCGACTACGCAGACCTTCTTCCCGACAAAATCACGGGAGCTCTTGTGGTTGCTGGAATGACGGATCTCGCCCCGGAAGTCAGTCATTCCAGGGACAGATGGGGTGGAAGGAACACCACATAGCGACGTGGCCATAATAAGCTGTTTAGGGTGTAGTGTGCGAGTCTCATTGCCCTCCTTATTAATGACAACGGTCCACTTTCCCTCAGCGTCTTGCTCTGCCTTAACAACCTCTGATTTGGTCCAGACATTGAGCTCCAGAGCGGAGGCATACCACTTCATGTATAACCCCTGCTTCTGAGCCGGAGTGTATGTGGGCCAATGCTGAGGGTATTTGAAGTATGGCAAGGCATCGGGCCAATGTGGGAAGTGGAGTGAAAGATATTCGTAACGATTCTTCCAGACATCTCCAATTTCGTCGCTGCGTTCGATGATCAGGCTCACCATACCGAGAGCTTTCAGGCGCGCTGCCATAGCAAGACCACTAGTAAAAATAATTTAGTATCATGCCATAGAGCTTGTATGCATAGGCTCTTACTTCTGACCACCACCAACGATCAACACCTCAGGGTCAACAGTGTTGATAGCCTCGGATCTCTGACTCTCCCAGCTAGTGATACCAGTCATATGTCCATCCGGTGCGGGCTGCTCAGGGAATTGCTTAAGACTCTCGGCAACAGTATGCATAGTGTAAATTCTCCAGCCATCTTGAGTGAGGACTGCATTGATGACGGCCGAGGCAAACACAATCTCAGTCTCGAAGGATACAACAAACTGCAGCTGAGAGAAGTCAGGGTAAGGCTGAGACACTGAAGGCGCAGGGTCGAGAAAGTTGAAGTTTCTAGCCTTGGTTTGAGGCAAAAGGTCGGTGGCGGCTTGAAGAATGGCCTTTCTAAAATTGAATGTGCGGAAGTCCCAGGTAAATGAGAGTTTGTCCCGCCACACGCCTGTAATTCGGAGATGATGTTAGCCAAAGTCGAGATTTCGGATCTTTCTTGCGCAGGGTCTCACCATAATCGAGGAATAGTTCGGCGAAAGCTTGTGCGTCTTCTTCTGATGTAGCTTTAGAGAGACGAGCTACGATGCCTTCGGCCTCCTGACGAGCATCACAATCCGTGGGGATGGTAACGCCCAAAACGTCGATGGTAGGGAGTGCGTGGTTGTACTTGAAGTCGTACATGAAGTCGTCCGCGACGGGCTTTGGAACCTGGTCGTGGTTGAGCGTCGCGCTCTTAGACTGTATAGCCTTAGGGACGGCATCGCTGTCAGCGGAGTCTTGAACGTATGGTGCCATCTTGTTTATTTTGAGAAAATTGCTGAAAGGGTATCTCTTAGGCAATATTCACAGACTGAGCGAAGGAAAAGCCAATGCTTCAGAGTTGCCGATATATGCTTAAAACATCGGATGATCTATATATCTTCTTTTTAGCTACTACCTTGAAGGCCTCAAAATCAGAAGTCGCGAAGTCGAAAATTTCCTAATCGGGAAAGTCTCGCCGCATCCCAGCTGTATTTAGTATTGTATCATATGACCGGACAAACTCCGTGCATAATTGATCTTTGCCCTAATTCCTGACCTGTTCTTGGATACGCCCTGTGTCGATATAGATATGCGCGGCGATATACCGCCGAGGTTCGCCCAATATTGCCTCAACAGGTTCTACTCGGATAAAACTAGTTGCTTCGGCACAGCACAAAGGACAATAGACGGCTGAACTCGAATGAGGCGGGTCCTTGTCTAAGACTAGCAAAAAATTAGAGGAGATCGATCTATACTTGTCAGGGTAAGTCTTTACGGAACTCTAACACATAGGGACTACGGATTCCAGAGAGAATGCCATCTAAAAATGCAAGGTGATCGCGCTGTAATGCAGATTTCCACCCGACCTCCGCGGCCTGGAAATAATATACGTGTTATTCAGACGTGTTATTTATATCTTCAGCCAATTCAGTCTTGCCGTTGTGGTGCCGGGACCCTCAGAGCATTAGTACAGTTAACCCGCACTAAATGGTGCTTCGTAGTATACGGCATATTTGTCATAGAGCCAGATCATCCTAGGGACTTTCAAAGTTAACTAAAAGTCCCAGATGCCATGCTTCACTTGCTAGATTCTGGTTCAGCATTTACAGATGCTGTGGTAAATCTGCGCCCTTGAATATAGCCACTAAGAACCAGACTGATATGGTCCTCATGCTATGGACACTACGAAAATCTTGACATATTGTACAATTCTTCTATAAGTGCCATGGAATTCATGAAAGTTATTTACAATCTTATTTCCATTGCTATTTTTTATCTTCTGATATATGCAATCACTTCATACCTTATTCCATGATGGGAAGACCATTTTCGTCGAAGTATACGGGCACACCCTTGCGGAATGAGTACTGTAGAGCAGCACAAATCTTGCCCGCCTCGAAAGCATCCTCTGGCACACAAGTCATGGGCTTGTTATCAAGCACCGCATCGGCGAACTCGGCAAGGTCAGTCAAGAAGGTCGCATCGAAGAGAGTGAACGCATCAGGCACAGATTCCGTGCGAATACCGAGATGGTCGCGAATCTGAACATTCGAGCTAGCGTTGATGATGGAATGTCCCTTGGTACCGCACACTCGAGTCGTATCCTCGAATCCGCTAGTGAGCGTACGGCCGAGATAGGTCTTGAAAATCTTGCCATTGGCATATTCCACCAGACCCCACGCGTTGTCAGCGTCGCCATACTTGGCTAGGTCCCCATAAACAGCATTCTGACCAAAGGCGATGACTCTGTTGACTTGCTTCTTGGGGTTGGAGAGACCAGACTTGACATCCAACAGGTATCGCCCGGCATCGACCTAGTACCGTGTTAATGGATTGATGATAGCAGATGAAAATATTGGGACTAACGGTGTGGATGCCAAAATCGAGGAAAATACCGCCAGACATCTCAGAAAAGGCCACGAAGAAGGCTGAACCGAATGGTCAGTTCATAGACAGAGACGACGACTAGGGGCAATTAGGGCCATACCATTAGGATCCGCTTGATCGATACCAGTCGTCTCAACAGCGTGAATTTCACCCAGAGTTCCATTGTCAATCAAGGCCTTTGCCTGACGGTAGGACTTGTCGTCTATCGTGAGTCAGTCTCGCAATCTACAAACCGAGCGGCCTCCTGTTACTTACATCGGCGAGTGAATGGAACAAGGAACTTAAGGTCAGGCCTAGAAGCAGACTTCTCGACGACTGCTTTGGTAGTAGCGATGTCCACAGAGACGGGCTTTTCGCACATAACGTGCAAATTGAGATCAAGGGCCTGCAGGATCAAGGGTGCGTGTGTAGCTGTCGCGGTACAGATGAGGATAGCCTCGGCGCCACTATTCTTCAAGCATTCTTGAGGGTCTGAGAAATATTGGACAGTTGAGGGCAGATTCTCTGCGGCCCATTTGTCTGTGCCTGGCTTGGTGTCGCAGACGGCGACGAGTTCGATCCGAGGCTGCTGGAAGGCGAGGATACGAGCTCGAAGCACTCCCAGACGGCCAAGGCCGAAAAGTGCAAACTTAACACGACGGTCTCCGAATGACATGACTCAGGGTTGCGGTTATGTGATGTTCTTGTATTCAATGGTTGCAAAGTATGCAATATAATGACAAGAGAGTGTGATAGATGAATGCCGACGTCTAGTCAAGTAGATTGCAACTTTCCGCCTGATGAGATCGGGGCTATCTTATTATTTATATACCTGTAGTCTCTACTCTGGACCGGATCCTTGATATCAGTCTGGTAACCACTTGGAGGCTTTCCTGCATGGTAGACGCTATCCGAATCCCATATACCGTGCCTCGCACCAAAGCCGATGTTGGTTGGAGGAGAAGGAGGGGCGCGAGAAACGCCACACATAGGGATCATCGCCGATGGTTGACCATAGGGTTTCTCAAATGAACTGTTTGGCGGATACTCTGCAAAAAAAACCGCATGTGAGGTCCAATTACATTGCGCCCGGTGGGATATGGGATCTCCATCTAACAACGGGGGTTCTTTTGTGTCGCCGCAGCTTTCCAAATCCAGTAATTTCTCAGCTTCCATCGCCGCGTTTTTCTTTCCCTTGGTTTCATTTCTCGAGACAAATATTCCTTGAATGGGTAAGACATTCCATCTCCGCATTTTTCCCCGGTCATTTTCCTCCCCAGCTTTAACCCAACGAAACCTTAAAAGATCGTCATATTTCCAAATGAAAGGCTTCAATACATCTTGGCCCCTGAATCTAGATCAGCAAATCCCGCAGCAGAATATAGCCAAAAAAGAATATAAGAATATGGAGTCCAGGTATATTCATCTTCCCTACATAACCTCATCTATACAATCTGTGTCCATAACAGAATACACTCCTATTCCCCCTTCAATGACGAAATGGACGAAGGCATAAACACCAAAACGGACAAGTCCGCGATTGAGTCATCTTCAGAACATGAGGAAGTGACTGTCATCACTGCCGGCGAAGCACATTATGCACTCGGCCACTCCGCCGGTGCGTACGGCCCTGATGGGGTGCGAGGTTTATTTTCATCGGGCAACGTGTTTGGTGCGGCCTTCCTGGCCTCGCTGGGTGGTTTCTCGTTTGGATATGACCAAGGTGTCATTTCCATCATCAATGTGATGGACCAGTTCCATGCAGTCTTTCCCGAGACTAAGACGTCGTTTGGCACTGGGTTCATGACTGGAATGCTGTTGCTTGGGTCGTTTGTTGGCTGTTTATTCATGCCTTACCTTGCAGACAAGATCTCCAGAAAGCGGGCATTGACTGTTGTTGTGATTATTTTTGATATTGGTGCAATCATTCAAACAGTTGCCCCAAACTATGGAGCTCTAATTGCTGGCAGAGCCATCGGTGGTATTGGCGTGGGTACTTTGGCCATGGTAAATATTCTCTCTTCTCGGCCTTGCCTATTCTTTTTTTTTCTTCGTTTCGAGATCTGGTGGGGGTTTGCTAACTTTTCTCTTCAGACAGCGCCTCTCTACATCTCGGAAATTGCACCGCCGAATCTACGTGGCACATTGCTGGTTCTGGAATCCGTTTCTCTCGTCTGTGGTGTTGTGATCGCATACTGGATCACTTTCGGAACTCGACTCCTAGAAGGCTCTATTTCTTTCCGACTTCCCCTCGGCCTGCAGATGGTATGTGCTACGGCACTAGGCATCTGTATACACTTCTTCCCGTATTCTCCAAGGTGGCTTGCACTCGTGGGCCGTTCCGAAGAATGCCTGGCCAGCTTGACCAGGCTCCGGAACCTTCCGGCCACAGATGAGCGCGTACAAGCGGAATACAGTGGCATTCTGGCGGAGGTCGTCTTTCAGCGCCTTGTGGAAGAACAGTCCCATCCTGGGGTTAAGGGCTGGAAGCTGGAAGTGCACAGCTGGCTAGATTTGTTGAAAAAGAAGAATTGGCGCCGGACGGTTGTCGCAGTCGGTGTATCCTTTTTCCAACAGTTTTCCGGTGTCAACGCATTCATTTACTACGCGCCTACGCTGTTCCGGTCACTCGGCCAATCAGATGAGATGTCGTTGGTACTTTCTGGCGTCTTCAATACCCTGCAGCTTGCTGGGGTCGTTATTTGCATTGCAATCATTGACCGAGTGGGACGTCGCCCTCTTGCCATTTTTGGTGGGTTTGGCTGCGCCATCTGCTACATGGTCATATCGATCCTAAGCGGGTTATTTTCCAGTGATTGGACCGCGCATTCTGCAGCTGGTTGGGCCTGTGTTGCTTTCGCCTTCTTATTTATTCTAGTCTTTGGTGCTTCCTACTCACCCTTGGGGTGGGCACTTCCTTCGGAGGTTTTCACCACCGCGTCGAGATCCAAGGGCGTCGCTTTGGCCACCTGTATCAACTGGCTCTCCAATTTCATCATTGGAGTAGCTACGCCCCCGATGATGGAAACCCAGGGGTATCGAACCTATATCTTCTTCACGGTAATGTGCTTTTTGGCTGGGGTTTGGGCATTGCTATTGGTTCCTGAGACTAAAGGCAAAACACTAGAGGAAATGGACGAGGAGTTCGGGGATGTGCAGGGTCTTGCTGAGAGAGAGCTTATGAGATCTGCTGTTCAAATAGTGAGGCAGGGTATTATAACCGAAGAGCTGAGAGTCTAGACGCATCACACCAGGTGACTAGCAGATATATCATGTTTGGGTACTAAGTTTGCCTATTTGTATAACCTGAGGGATCATTTGGTGAGAATTTTCAACAGTAGAACAATGAAATATTTCAAATAGCTCTTGCGAATCAGCATTGGCTAAATTTCCCCTGAATGCACTTCGGTATCATAGCTTCAGAAGGAATGCCAACAGCATTTTTGAGTATGTTGTAAGGGAATTTTTCCGTGTCCAAGCTTGGCTAAAACAGAACCAATACCTTTCATAACGTATGATGGTAATTCTTTCCGTGAGATATGGCATAAAATGCTAGATTTGTCCAACAAGGATAAAAGCTCCGGCCAAACGTGGGGATTTCCAAGCGGGGTAAGTCTAACGGTATAAGGAATATGTCGCCGCATTATTTCCTAACAGTTTGAAACCTCCCATCTACGCTGTTCATTGTAACCATTCCGTATGCTTTGAGAGAATTGCACGAGACATGTCAACTCGCAATTTATTGGCACCTTGTTCCAATTGCCGCCGTAATAATCCCTGTGCTCATAGTCCTGATCTGCGCTAATAAGTACCCACAGACAGGCATCAGAAGTGTGCGATACCAGACAGTGACCTCCGATAGGTTCCCTGCTGTTCATGTGCGCTAATCGTGCTCTTTCCAGGTGATCGGAGGCAACCGATTTGCCGACGATGTGAGATCAAAGGTCTCAATTGTAGACCTGCGCAACGAATGCCAGTCTTCCGACATGGCACCACGGCAAATTTAAATGCAAACTTTAGGGAAGATCAAACATGGGTGAATAGTAGGCCTAAAAACTGGAGACCCTCGACGCGGTCAGCTCGGTTGTCTCAATCTCGATCTAGCCCAACCGTGTCAAACGAAGATCCTAACGAGAGCGCACTCACATTGGACAGCCCATTGAATGGACAAAGCCAAGCCGAACACTACTCGAATACGCTGATTTTTGGTTCTGCGGAGCCAAATGAAAATTCTCAGAATGAATCCTCGCATGCGGGTTCGTTTAGTCTAGACGTTACAAGGCCGGCTGTTTGTTCTACCTCACCAGCCAATGTCTCAAATTCTTCGGTATCATCAGGTATTGAAAATGGATTTGAAAGGGAACAATTCTATGTGAGAAGTGGTGGTGATTTTCGAAATGCTAAGCTGGATAGTCTTACAACCACGTCGAGTTCTGTCAACTCTTCTTATTCTGTCAATCGGGGTTCGGAACAGGGCTCTAGCAATGTTCAAGAAGCTTGCTTAATGCGGTATTTTATCGAAGAGCTATCTCCATGGGTACGTCAAATCATTTCTCCTTGGGACTCTCTGAAAATGACATTTTATAGTTTGATCATTGTGATGAGCGACGTCACTTTCAACTAGTGGTTCCTCGTCGAGCTAAGTACTGTGCCGCTCTACGGAATGCGGTATTTGCGGTATCATCCCGACATCTTTGTCGTTTGCCACAATACACAACATTACAAGGAAGTGTTTACCACGGGCAGGCTTTGCCTGGCTTAACAAAGTCGACCTCGCTTGAGTACATGTTGAAATGCGTTCCGGAATTGATCCAGTTCCCGGAAATCCAGGATCCAATACACCAGGAGAACATCATGGCGGCCACTGTGATTCTACGACAATATGAGGAGATGGAAGAGGAGATGGAAGAGATGGAGGAAGGGGAGATTGGAAACCACGCCAATGAGCGAGTCAACTTCCTGGCCATCACGCAAACAATCATTGACACCATGATTTCAACCCCGCTTGATCATTCCCTCGCTACCGCGGCCTACTGGATTGCCATCCGACAGGAGGTATATTATGCTTTGACAAGGCAACGGGCTCCGCAGTTCCGTTTTGACTCGGGGCGCTGTCAAAATGCTTCCGTTGCCAATACAATGATCATATTCGCTAGTGAAGTTGCCAAGTGGCGCTGGGGGTTGAAAGAGACTCATGTATGGGGTAAGTTCGCTGTTAGCCCTGCTATGATCTAAAAGGTGCCGGTATCAACTGACATACCTCATCGCGATAGAGCAACTCAAGGCAAAGCAGCAGCGGCTTCATTATGACTATCTGCATGAATTAGCACCAATTCTGGAGCAAGATGCCGATCGAGCCAGAGGGGACATTTTTCCTACTATATGGTACTCTTTTGATGCCCAGGTGACGGCGATCCAACATTTGAAATTGGCTGAAATGATTTTAATTGCCGAAAGCCCCTATCTCGAGTAAGTGCAATTAGAACATCTACTGAATATTCATTATATCTAACATGCCATCAATAGAAATGCAAGGGGTGCATTACATCGTAAAACGGAGGCACAAGTTCGGACTATCGTCCTAAGTCTTTGTGGCATCGCATTAAACCATCCCCAATGTCAGCCTGCACTAGTTAATGCTGTCATAGCAATTACCCTTTACGGCGAATATTTCGTCCAGCAAGAGGAGCGAGATGCTCTACTTGATATCATCAACCAGACTATGAAATTACATGCCTGGCCTTTGAGAAAAGCCTACCAGTCTCTACAACGGCAATGGGATATGATAGATAATGTTCAACTTTGAATCGAAATCCCGAGTTGATAAGCCTGTTTTGCGCCCTTTTTGCCGTTGACCTTTTTAAACAGAATAATATCTAGAACTACTGAATAATATCACAAGGCCTACTATTCTTGTACATCAGTCCGAAGGGGTCAATATGTTGACAAGGCTCGTTTCTATTGCTACTACGCAAGCATCGGTTATGCTTCATTAGTCTTGGCCTTTCTTTAAGGTGGGAGTCGCGCCTTCCTCGTAGAAGCGCCCTTTCTCTCATAGCCTTTGACATTTTATATCCTTCTTCCTTCAGCATTCTCTCCAAAGGTTTATGCGCATTTGTTGGTAGCTTAAGCTATAACTAACACACTTTCGATTTTCCCGTCTATCAACCTTGTCACTGAACCACTTTGTGGCTGCCATATCATCCTTCAAGATCCTGGAAACGACCTTACCCACCCTGAAAAGCTTGAGCCTTGAGTTCTTAACCTAGACAAGTGACCTAACAAGTGATACCTTGATCTCTCCTTCTCAAGGTCTGCGAATCTGTCGACAGGCGTGTGCGTGTCTACGCGAGCACTCTATTGTACAATATCTTGGTATCAGTGCGTGGAGTTATCCACGAGAACCAATCGCGGTCATCGACCCCTTCAATGAACGAAGACAGAATCGCTTTCCGATCGAGTGCTGATATCATTAGTACGAAAAAGAGCTAGTCATAAAGCCGAGCTCTCAAGCTCAGACTTAGTCCTAATCTAGAAAATCAAACGAGCAATATATATTGCTAGTAAGTACTGGTAAGACCTAGTAAGAGCTTAGCCTCATACTAAATCACAAATACTTTGGCTTTCTTTTGTAGTGGCTTGTAATACAGTAAGTAACACTACAATAATAACGCGCAAAAGCAGCCTTGTGATGTCTTTTCAGTCATCTCAGATATCATTCTATTTAGTCTTTTCAGCTTTATAGGTCGACGGCAAAAAGGGCGGGAAAATGCTTGCATTGGCCTTTCTATAACCTTTTATACATCGTGTCTAGTGCTGACATGTTCTAGACGTATTCATTCTAGGGCCGCACCTTAATGTGACTCGTATCATAAGCTGGCCCCGAGGTCTCCACAGATTTCTATCTCACTGGGCCCACGGGTTGGATTCTTCCCTCTTATCTTGCATTGCATTCATGCTCTCTATGCTTGTTGCAAAAAAAAAAAAAGAAAAAGAAAAAAAAACCGGGACTATATCCGGTACAGCAACCTGCCTGAGACTGTTCGGGAATGGGAATACACGAAAAAGGCGGCAATCGTTTCTTATGCTCTTGCTGCCACTATGTTTTCATCGGTGTTGCTAGTGTAGCTGGAATCCTAGGCCTTTCGATTGCGCTTTGACGCCTGAAAGTTGGAAATACAGCAAGATAAAAGTATTATTTGCTTTGCTTATTGTATATACTATTCTTCGGATACTTTCCTGGGATTTGTCATACGGGCTATAGTCTGTCCGACTTAGGGCTGACCCATTGGCATGTATAATCAAAGCTCGGGGAACAATTTGGGGGCGATCAGCCCTCAGGTAGCCACGACATCATTGATGTACTTAGCCTAAAACAGACCCCGAACTCTATCCATCGTAACTATATATAGCTAACTGATTACTATTTAACAACCCTCCTACAAAGTCAACTCACTACACAATCATTTTCTCAAACATGGAGACCAGTTTCCAAGCCGCCATCGACGCCGGCAAGATCAACGGCGCCGTAACCTGCGCCACCGATGCCGAAGGCAACTTCGTCTACAACAAGGCAATCGGAGAACGCACTTTACTCTCCGGCGAAAAACAGCCACTGCAGCTCGACGACGTGCTATACGTAGCCTCAGCCACCAAATTGATCACAACCATCGCCGCCCTACAATGCGTCGAGGACGGTCTACTGACTCTAGACGGCGACCTATCATCCATCGCCCCAGAGCTTGCTGCCAAACAAGTTCTCACCGGCTTTGCCGAAGACGGAAGTCCCCAGCTCGACCCACCAGCCCGCCCCATCACTCTCAAAATGCTGCTCACACACAGCTCCGGTACTTGCTACCACTTCCTGAACCCGCTCGTTGCCAAATGGCGCGCGCAGTTCGCCGATCCTGATAGCGAGGAGCGTCGCTCCGTCGAGGAGATGTTCACCTACCCCCTCATCTTCCACCCTGGTGACGGCTGGATGTACGGGCCTAGTCTTGACTGGGCTGGTCGTGTAGTTGAGCGCGTCACGGGCGGCACGTTGATGGAATTCATGCAGAAGCGTATCTTTGACCCGCTCGGTATTTCAGATGCGCAGTTCTATCCTGTTACCCGTGAGGATCTGCGACCTCGTCTTGTCAACCTCACTCCCGATGACCCTGATGCCGTTGGGAGTGCCGTGCTTGGCGGGGGTGGCGAGATGAACTTGCGGGGTCGGGGTGACTTTGGTGGTCATGGGTTGTTTATTCCCGGTTTGGATTTCGTTAAGGTTTTGCGCTCGTTGTTGGCTAATGATGGGAAATTGCTCAATGCGAATACTGTCGACAATATGTTCCAGCAACATCTTACCCCTGAAGGGGCGGCGGGACATCAAGCTGCGCTTGATAATCCTGCTGTCGGGCCCTTTTTCCGCGTGGGTACGGAGCTAGGGGCGAAGGTTGGTCATGGGTTGGGTGGTTTGGTGACCCTTGAGGATGTTGATGGTTGGTATGGTGAGCGGACGTTGACTTGGGGTGGTGGCTTGACGCTTGCTTGGTTCATTGATCGGAAGAATAACCTATGTGGTGTCGGTGCGCTCCAGGCTAAGCTGCCGGTTGATGGGGATTTGATGGCGGAGTTGAAGCAGATCTTCCGTAAAGATATTTACCACAAATATGCTACGTGGAAGGGCCAGCAGTAGATATAATTGACGATATAGAGGGGCGGGTGTGTCTTTTTTCTTATTGGGCATATAGTCTATCAGAATACGGATATTTACGCATCACCTCTGTTCTTCATCAAAGATAGGATCTACAGCCTAGCTCATTCGAACGACGATGACGCTCGCCTTGGATACATCTATACTAAGCTCAGTTCGATAACAGACCATGATCAAATTCAAATGGTTTCAAGAGTAATCAAGTAATCTACACTTATATTGTACACGAACCCCAAGACCAAGGCAGGTCAAAAGGGATATTAAAAATGGAAAGGACAGAAAGATCACCACATGAAGCGCTGGGTCTTGCCAGGCTCCTGCGGCCACTCAAAGCCCTTGTACAGGAAGACATAACCAGTGATCAAATTAATGATCAAGAACCAAGCTGTCTCCACGAACTTTGGCAGGTTAATAATGAAGTCAGCACGGCGCTTAGCCTCCTCTGTGCGGGGGCGGGTCTCTCGGTCCCTGAACAGACATGGCAGAGGAGGAAGATGCACACGCCACATAACCCATGGGATGATAAAGTAGCGGGGTTCAACGAGAGGTGCTGTGATGAGTGACAGGGAGGTGGCGGCCAGCCAAACAAGAACGAAGCTAACGCGCGGTGCCTCCAGCAATTCTCTCTGCCGCCTGAGGATGTGTTGCTGAACTCTAGCCACGATCGCAGGGTCTTTTGGATCCGTAATATCTGCCGGTGGTACATAATGATTGAGCTCAGCTGGCGGATTCTTCTCGGCCTCTGCAGGTGGATTCTTCTTGGTCTCTGCTGGTGGCTCAGGCTTATTGGCCTTCTTGTTGTTGGACCGATTGGGCTTCCTCGTCCCCTTCGGCGGCTGTTGGTGCGCGGGTGCAGGCTTGCGCGCAGTGGGTTTGGGCTCTTGGGCTGCTGGAGCCGGAGCCGGAGATTCAGCCTGGGGAGATTTGCGAATTCGCAGGGTTTTGGGCGGGCGTTGGATGGTGGTAAATCCAAATGCGGAGATCACCATCCATCCACAGAGGAAATAGACTGGGACTGCAGCGTACTTGACTGCTGGGTGTAGCAGAAGAATGCGGAACACGTAGAACACATAGTGTCGGTTATCGGCAAGTGTAAACGGGTGCACAATGGTGTTGAAGTGGACCACGGCAAGCATAAGCGGTATCACAATCAGAGCTGCCTTGAGCTTTGGATATTTCCTCTGTTTCGGCGGGAAGCCTAGGTTTAGATAGACGGGGAGTGGCTTGAGGGCGAGAATGTTAGTCAGAGGAATGACAAAAAGAGGCCATGAGAAGAAAGTGAAATACGGCCAGATGTAGAGCATCTGAGCTAGGTGGATACCTGCGGTATGGAACTCCTTGTGACCTATTGAATAGCAGCTGTCAGTCAAGATCGCATGTCATGTAACAAAGCAAATCACTCTTACCTAACACTACTCCGTTGTTCCAAACGACAAATGCACCAAAGGCAGCAAGGACGATGATATGAGGAATGAGAGAAACAAGGAGAGAGAAAGGCTGCTTCAAGCCGACAGTTGTAAGTGAGATAGCGGTCTTCAGATAATCTATATTTCAGGTTAGAATGGTGCCTTGCTTGCTTCATATCTATTCAAAAGATCAACTTACCTTCCAAAGAAGCTTCCGAAACAAGAGGATCATACACCTCATTCTGCTGACCTTGCTTCACGATAGTTGACAATTCGGATGACTCGCAGGGCTTGGTAGACTTTCGAATCTTGCGGACCACCTGAAGTCCACCTAGGAAAACTGAGACCCAGAAGATATTGGTCTGGCGGAAGACCAGTGCAGCCAGCGCGAAAGCCAAGAATCCCAATGTGTCCAGGATTCTATTGCTAGGCGCTTTTTTCGCACCTTCGCCTGACTCGCTTTTCTGATCTCTCTCTGAATCTCTCTTCAAGTCCCAATTGTACGCCTCCACGACAACCAGCAATGCAAGAACATCTGTGTAATACAGACCCGAGAAGAAGAACAGCGGGGGGAACAAGCATATGTTCAGCACGGTATGGGACACGTTCGCTCCCAGCGGCCGAGTATTTTCCGCTCTCTGTAAGGTATCAAGCAGCTTCTGCAGTCTCCATGGGAAAACAACTGTTGTCGCACCAACGTTCGTCATACGCAGGACATCCGGACTGAGCTTTGTCGGGGACCCGCGAAGCAGCAGCACAATAGTGAAGATGATGTATGAGCACAAATACAGGCCTGGTGGTGTTGTGAGCTTTGGATCCCACTGCATCCAATTATGCGACCAGTATGCTTGTGCTTGGGGGACATGGAAGACTTCGTCGAGGTAGGGTTCGGGGACAGTCTTGTTGACAAGACTCACCCAGAGAGGAATGGAGACCAAACAAAAGGGAACCAACCATCGAGCACTCCGGCTACGATCTGACTCTGGAGGATTGACCATGCTTTTTAGATGATTACCTGCAGTGGCCATGTAAACTTGCCAGGTCATTCGCATTTCTTCGGCGGGCCAGCCGGAGTTTGCGGAGCTCTCCCGATGCAAACGTTTCAAACGTTTCGTCCGTTTCGAAGTTGACATCTTGACGCGACTCGAAATTCAAGTAAAAATATTCAAAGAAAAGTTGATTGAGTATTTGAAGAGAAGAGAAACAGTCAGTAAATAAAGAAAAGAAAAGGGAAACAACAAAAACGCGAAGCAAACGTGAAGCAAACGCGAAGCAAACGATCAGAATCACACGACCTATATCATCGCAAAAAACTATGACATCGCGACCCGGACATTGAAATCGCATTCAACTTCCTATTCACATCATGGCTTTCCCTCTTCCCCGGGGCGTCACAGCCTCAGAAATCGCCTTCCTGGCGGAGATGGAAACTGTGACAATTGTGCCTCGCCAACGTCTAGAAGGCCTCGAATTACTAGGAGTGAATGCGCCTCCAAATATTTTCATCTGAACATCAAGCTAACTATCCCAGGGCCCCATTGAACCTCTCGTCCCACCCCGACGCGCCTTCCTCCCCCTCTGGCTCGCCCTCCTCCTCAAACGCCAACGCCGCGCAAACATCATCCCACCAACATGGCTACATCCAGAGCCATTAGCTCTCATCCTCGAATTCGAGTCCCAGCACCAAGACTACAAAAACGCTTTCTCCCCACCTCCTCCTCTACCTGGTCAACCCAGCATTCTAGACCGTGATGCACTACCGTCTGCTCGGCCGCAGTATACCCCAGATGGCAATAGGTACTATGCGGCGCCACCTTTCCTACCTCAAAACACAGCCCAGACTGTGACGTCTTCGCGAGATCCCCCCTCACTACCTTTCCACTGGGTTGAGGTTGGGAATATGCTGCTTGAGGCTGCGAGCGATGATCTCGTGGACCCCGATCAGATACGGAGGCTATTGAAGGACTTGCGTGAGGTGCGCATGGCGAAAATGAGGTCTGGTGTTGATGTGCTGGATGCTGCAGCGACCGGTGGTGGTGGTGTTGCTTTGACGGGTGTCGGTTCTATGGAACTGGGAGAGGAGCGGGGGTTTATTACTGGTGTGGTGGATGGTCTTCGGTATGTTTGATCTCATTCCCGGAAACCTGCGTATCCGCGTTAAACTTGCTAACCGGCTCATAGGAGAATTGGGTCCTCCAAGGAACAGGCCCGGCGTGAACAGATGGCCGAACAGAGAGCAAATGGTGGCTATGATGGTACCCAGGACAATGATGACGAAGAAGATTACATGGAGTTCTAGGCATTTTGGGACCTTTTCTGTTTTGGGGTATCTTTCATTTGGAGTTCTTCGGTGCATATGTGACGCAGACCAATGCTCAAAACGACTTTCATGTATATAATCCAATATACCCTTCGGATCCAATGATCAACGGTTATAATCGAAAATGTTCCAATTTAACTAACACCATACAGCATGCGAACGCTTTAATACAAAATGATGTCGCGAAAAACCGAAAGAATGGAGAGGGTATATCGGCATCCAGGAAACACAGATGCCGGGTTTTGCCAGGTTTAGCCAGGTTTATGGACGTCAAAAACAGTATACAGAAAAATCACATTGTCGACAGGGCGAGCGTGACAATTCTCATATTATTGAACATCGCCCTGGTTCTTTTGCATCATCTTTCTCCGCGCGGCCAAAATCATATCATCTCGGCGCTTCTGCAGTATCCGCTGGCGCTCCTCCTTATTCTGAGACCAGGAGGACTTCGTAGGTGTTTCTGGTTCTGATTCCGCAGGAGGGCTCGCGGCCTTTTCATTCAGGTTATACCGAGATATCAAGTCCTGTGCGTCGGCTTTCTGTGGGGATGCGGCCGTGGCGGTCTGTGTCGGCGGGATGTTGGTTGGGGGGATTGCGACCTGAGGCTGGAATGAAGGAGGAGGCTAAGAGAATGGGTTAGTCAATGTCTTGGTGTATATTTGAGGCCTGCAATCAAGTCGAGTTGCCTCGGACAAAGACAAGGCGGGGGAAATTGATGACAGCATCAGCTCAACACGTACAGTTTCCAGCCCCCGTCCAGTCAGAACTCTCTCTGTCGTTGCGGCGACACTGCCCCCATTACGCTGAAGATCCCACATGATATCCCGAGTGCTCAGTTGAGGGAACATCTGCGCGATCTGTTCCACCTGCGCCGGATCGACGACATTGCCACGCCCCCGACCTCGGTTTCCTCCCGCGGAGCTTTCATCGCGGTTGAAGAACCATCGGATTACAAAGTATGATACAACCGCTAGAGTGAGAAGCGAAGGTATGTTCAGCGAAGGTTCCTCGTCTGTCATCTTTGTGTTGGCGGAGCGCAAGTTGAGTCAGATCTTCAGGGTCCCCGATGTCGGTATCTGGCTGTAACGATTCGGAGAAAGACAAGATATCGGAATATGATTGAATATAAGTGATGCCCAGGTGAGATAGTTCGGTATTGGGTCAATGGGGGTAGTTATCAATGAAATCGCAATACGCATTGGAAGGTGGCACCGGGTCAGGTCGACAGGGCACGTGCCGGGTACCGGAGTTCCCAAGTTTGTCAACGCTGACCATTTTATATTGTACGGAGTACACCTTATCAATGAATAAAAGTACAATTTAACGACTGGATTATTTCTTTTATGAATATAGAAACACTCTATCGCCCGAGAAATGGAGCTTATTATGCTTTCTTACTGTGACTGGATTATTTATATATCGTGGGTCTACATATAACATACAGAATGGTTACGAAAGCGCTTTAATAGCATTGAATGTATAACGGAGGGCGATACCCAATTGAAATGGAAATAGTCTTTACCATGCATAATTCGTAAAACAGATATCCATTCCCATCCAAAAACAACCAAACACCAAAGGCCGGACATAATAATCTCACACCCAACCGGACCAACACACCAAGGAAGAAACTATAGACAACCAATAGACAACCAAGCTCATGTGCATGCTTATTTCAAATCCGCAGGAGTCAACGCCTGAACAATACTGGTACCTTCGCTGAACCGCGTGCGGAAGATACGGTTGGCGTTCTGGAACATGCCATCCTTCAACGAGACAACGATGAACTGGGAACCCTTGAAACGGGTCTTGATCAGTCGACCGATGTTTTGTGTATGCGAGAGATCTAGCGCGGCATCGACCTCGTCGAGAATGTACATTGGCGCAGGCTTGAATTGCAAGAGGGCCATGATCAATGAAAGAGCAATGAGTGAACGCTGGCCACCACTCAGTTCTGTCAAACTCTGTTTCCAGACCTTGCCCAGGGACACCTTAACTTCGAGACCATCTGTGATGTCTTTGCCCTCGGGAGGGTCAAGCTTGGCGAAACTTCCCGGTAGGAGTTCGTTGAAGATCTGTCCGAAGTCGCCATTCACCTTGACCCACGTCTTGTGGAGAGCTTCCTTTTTGTATTCGTTTAGGTTCATGATGGTCTCTTCGATCTTTCGCTTGTCACGGATGACTGTCTTCATCATGTTCTTCAGAGCAGCCTCCTTCTTCTCAACGCTGTCAATCATGTTCATGACCTTCGGGTTGATTTTCTTTTTCATCCCTTGAGATCGCTCTGTCAAGTTGCGTAGCGTAGACTTGCACTCGGCAATGTTCTGGTTCTGGAAATTGTAGGGAGTGTTGGCGCGTCCGAAATTTTCTTTCTCATCCGCAATCCACTCATGTTCCTGTTCCATGTGAGCCACCGCCTGGCTAGCAGTGTATTGATCCTTTTCGAGCTTTTCGAGCTGATGGCCGAGCTTCTGCGCTTCTAGTCCATCCTCGGTGATCTGGGAGGATTTGCTCTTCATGGCTTGTTCTAATTCTCGCAATTCCTCGTCAAAACCGGTCAGCTTGGCCCTCTCATCATTGAGGCGAGCCTGTGCGATGTCATGGGCATCCTAAAATTGTTAGTGACATGATTATTGAGTAGTGTTGCGAGGGCACCGCATACCTTCAACCGCGCTTGCTCCCGTTTTTGTGATTGAATCTCTTCTACTTGGGCCTTGAGAGTGTTGTCCGACTCAACTAATTGTTCCTCAGCTGCGGATAAGTCACTTCCAACTTGTTCAGAGTCTAGTCTCGAAGTCTGCAATTCCTTCTGCAGCTCTTTGACCGAGCAAGAATTCTTGGTCAGGCTCTTCTTCAGTTTATTGAGCGTAGTCTGCAGCTCCTCCAACTTGCTATCTTTGTTGTTGCTGAATTCACTCATGTCTTTCTCAATTCGCTTGATGTCCTTGGATGCGTCGGCCTGGCGAGACTTAGCGTCGGCGATGTCTTTCTTGAGTTGTTCAATGTTTGCTCTCATTTCCTCAACGGCTTGAATGATCTATTCCGGGTTAGTTGAAATTTGCGGGGAACAAATTAGGAGGAGGACATACCGAAGACGAAGAGTTGCTGTTAATTTGCTCCTCAGTAAGCTTAATCTCGTGAGTCTTGAGATCCAGGTTTTGTTTGATAGAGCGAACGGAATCGAGCTTCTTCTTTTCCCTCTTCATGTGATCTTCCAAAGTTGCGAGCTGTCGTTCTTTGCTCCGCAGCTCCTTTGTGATCTCATTGAGCTTTTGCAAGGTAACGAGAACACCGCTGGAGTTGGGGGAGCTTCCACCCGAAAGCGTTCCGGACGGATCATACACATCGCCCTCCAGCGTCACACTCTTCATACGAACTGACGGATCGAACGTTACCTTCTTCGCTGTATCGGCATCCTGGCAGATAAGGGTGTTGCCGAAGACATAGTTCATTGCCGCAAGAACTTCCTCGTCGTATCCGACCAAGGATAGAGCGAGGTCAACCTTTCCAGGGGCAAGGTTCTGCGCAGCTCCAATCTTTTCCGCGGAGGCCTTGAAGGCAGAAATCTTATTAAGGGGAATGATAGTCACGCGCTTACGGAGCTTGCCTTTCTGAAGCAGCTGGGTGCCGGTCTCTGCGCTGTCCACGACCACATTATAAAGACGACCACCAGCGCAGATCTCTAGAGCAGTCGCAGCGGGAACCTGATCCTTGTTGAGGGTAAAAAGTTGAGCAACCAAACCCTTGACCTTGGACCGGTCAAAGTTGGGATGGGGGTCTGCGTAGTTGAAATCGATGTTCGCCGCCTGCCGCTTGAGCCCATCGGCCCGTTGGCGGAGGTCGCGGATATCCCGTTGAAGCTCGGTCTGCTCCTGGTATATCTGCTCCTCCTTCCCAGGCTCAAATCCAAGCCGAGTCAGCTCGGACTCGAGCTTGCTGGCTTGCGACTTCAGCCCTTCGAGATCGCGCAAAAGCCCCAGGTTTTGCTCCTTTGCCTTCTTTGCACGAGGCTCTTCCTCTTTAATCCGCTTCTCAAGATGGTTGATCTTGAGCTTTGCTTGCTCTTGTTCTGTGGCGGCATTGCTTGCGCGATTGCGCGCATCTTGAAGTTGACCCTGGTAACCACTCTCCTGGCCCTCCTTTGAGGCGACACCAGTCTGCAATGTCTGAAGAAGTTCCTCCTTTTGCTCCACTTGGAGATTTTGTGCGTCCAACTCGGCCTTGGCGGTATCGTATTGGGCCTGTAGCTTCTCATAGATCTTGCGCTTCTCCTTCAAGACTTTCTCAAGATCAGTGACAGTGTTTTGAATAGTCTGTCGCTTCTCTTTCTCTTCCTCAACGCTTGAATTCTTCAGATCAAAGACCGTAGACAGTCGGACCAACTCGTGCGAGTAGTTCTTGACTTCATCTTCAAGCCCCTGGAATTTGCCGCCTTTTCGGAGTTCCTTATCGCGAGCTGCACGCACTCGTTTCACGTCCTCCTCTAGATGAGCGATTTCGTTTTTGAGTTTGTTCGCGTTATCTTCGAGTGCTTGCGCTTTATTGCGTTTGTTTTCGCACTCTTCGCCTGCAATCCGCAATCGCTCCCCGCCACGAACATAGTCATGGGCAACAACAAGTCGTGTCAAGCGCTCGAGGTCGTTCTGCGTCTGCTGAAAATCGAGGAAGGCTCGTTTCTCGGACCGGAGCTTCTCGAGCTTAGGTTCAATCTCTTCCTTCAACAGTTCCTCGATCTCGCGTAGCTTCAGCTCTTTCTTTCCCATTGTTCTGTTTGCCTTTTCTCTTCGATCCTCAAACATTCGTGTTCCAGCTGCCTCCTCGATCATTGACAGGATTTCCACCGATTTCATGTTCAGGACTTTCGTAATGCGACCTTGCATAATGAGGAAGTTGGGGTTGTTAATATTCAGCTGGACACTCTGGAACAGGTTCTGAACAGTCTGCTGTTGCGCGCGGTGCCCGTTGATCAAATATTTACTTGTGCCTCCTAGCACAATCTGTCGAGTGACGGAGATATTGGCATATTCCTCGAACCCGATCGGTGACTTCGCGGTATCCCGATTGTCGAAAACGATTGTAACACTGGCTTTCGTGACACCAGCTTGGCCGCGTTTGTAGATGAGATCTTGGAGGTTTTGCGCGCGCACTGTGGTCATGTTGGTGATACCAAGCACGAAACAAATGGCATCGAGGATGTTGGATTTACCACTGCCGTTCAGGCCGGTGATCGAGTTGAAGGCTTCGTCCCTACATTGCACGATCAGTAAATTAGATCACCCCGACACTAGGTTAAAGCCATAATATAATTCATGCTTAATGCGGGGGACTTCATACCATCCCGAGATCACCGTACGCACAGCGTACGATTTGAAGCCCTGACGACCTAGTTAGCAGAGTGAATAGCGATGGAGTAGATTTGAGACTCACATCTATGACAATTTCGGTAATCCTCATGATTGCGACTCCGAAACGGCGTTTTGCTCGTTAGCAGAGTGCATAGATCGGCCAGATGGGGAGGTGGAGGGAATTGATTGTTTTGCCGCACCGGCTGTTGATGGTTTACCCATTTGGGCCTGGCGTCGTTTTGCTGATGTCAGCGCGGGGGCTTTGTTATCACGTGATATTGAAGTATGTAAACAGGGCACTTGACGACTGGAGATTAAATCTCTCTCTTCGCTAAATTTGGTATATTTAATGGTATTCAGAGGTTTTTATTTAAGAGCTGATGTGAGATTCTGAGCCAAGGGCTTTGTCACTTTCACTTTGATCTTACAGAGCTCCCTTTTTGCTAATCCACTCAATGATCAGGGAACCTTGGGAGTTACCTACTGCTCAAGATCCGTCCTTCAACCAATCATTGATAGCATTAAACTACGGTGTAGTATGAGGCTGATTTAATATATGCGCCTGTAAGATAAACCTTCAGAAATGACTCAAATCCACTCACGGAGACATTATCGGAGACTTTCTATGCCGTACAACACTTGTAGTATCATGCCTAGGTATAACGCCAACAAACTAGGCATAGGGGCCGAGCAACTTCAGACTATTTAAAGGGCAGTTTAGTTCCAGCAAGAATACTATTCATGATCTTAGCTTTGTATCACATAATTCGAACGTTTCTCCCAAACAAGACTTCTTTGATTAACTTCAATCACGATCCCCAACCACCTTACAGCTTTACCAACCATGGCTGACAAAGTCAACCTCGAGGACTTCTTCAAGAGTGAAGCCTATGCCAACTCCTTCAAACGCGGAGAGATGATCACCCGCCCATTCGCTGAACTTCTGGTTGACCAGAGCAAGGTGATCTCCGAGTCCAAGGCCAATCCTGATCAGCCTCTAGTGATCCTTGACAATGCCTGCGGCACTGGTATTATTTCTAGCATCCTCAATGACAAGGTTGGCGACATTGTCAAGGAGAAGTGGAAGTTGACCTCCGGAGACATCTCGTCGGCAATCATCGAGTACACTAAGCTCCGTATACAACAAGAGGACTGGAAAAATACGGAGACAAAGATCCTGGATGCGCAGAAGCCTGACCTACCTAGTGCTCAATTCACTCACATATTCACTGCTTTCGGTAAGTTAGTTTCTGGGTGCACTCTGGTCTGGTTTGACTGTGACTAACTACTATGCTCCTTCTGTAGCCTATATGGCACTCCACGAGTCCGTTAAAGCTCTCAATGGTAATGATATCCTTGCTTACCTCCCTATTATATTCAAGTCTAATAGAGAACACTAGAAACTGCCCGAATGCTGCAACCCGGCGGAACTATTGCTTTCTCAACCTGGATTGAGCGTGAGTATTAGAACGACTGTCTTAGATACTAAACTTACTGACATGAAAATAGCCGGCTGGATAGCCATCGCCCGAGCAGCGATTAAAAGTATGCCAGGAAACCTATGTTTTCCTGAGACCCGAGAGCTCATGGCGGTCATGACTGAAGGGCAATGGGACTCAAAGTCTTGGATCGAGTCCCAACTTGAGCAGCTTGGGTTTCAGGACATTGATGTACGCCCAGCAACAATAAAATTGACCCTCGCCTCCCATGTCTTCGTGGATATGAGCATGTTGATGGTTCCCGTGATGGTTAACTCCTTCTGGACTGAGAAGCAGCGGGAGGAAAACAAGGACAAGGTTCGTCCGGCGCTAGAGAAGTACGTGGAAGACGTTTACGGATCTGGGAACATCGATACTGAATGGGTGGCAATTCTGTCCACTGCGCGCAAGCCATGCTAGATCGATAGTTCATTCAGATGTCTTGGAGATATAGGAGTCTACAGGAATCTATAGCGGTTTACAGTATTCTGAAAAGATCATCCAGGTCATTGATTTTCAAAGATCGTATCCTGGTTTCCCACATAGTCCGTTTAATACCCAAGAAATCAACGCGCCTTGTGCCCGAAGGTTAATGTACTATCGGCCAGCCCGGAGCACTATAACACAGACCAGTAAACCAAACGCCATAGTTGATTACTTGTATTCTGCATGCCCACACCTAGGTCGTTGCAATTTCAAATCATGAGGCATGATGCACCACACCAGGTGGGCGGGCAGCGCCTCGGTTAGGATCCAACCGGTTATCCAAGTCTTCATACCGAAGAATGAATTCGCGCTGCAATCAAAGTTAGCTTGACCAGTCTCTCAAGTCCTAACAAGGTATGAAAGTTACTTACTCGGACCTTCTTCCAGGCGGAAGCATCCCACAAAAGATACACACCGCGTTCTGTTACACCACGCTCCACATCAACGGGCCCAGGATATGTCTCATCCCGAGTCAGCCAGCACCGTTCAAGCTTGTGGTACCGCCATTTGCGGCCCATCAATTCCTCGGCCACTAGTTCCTGCATGATATCCCGAGGCATGCTATAGAAGATGAAAAAGAGGGTCTCGTCACTGAACCCAGGGATACGAGACTGAAGGGGTTGGATATTGGCGACATTATAACAAGCCGGTAAAGAGAAGTCTTGTTCCAGAGGGACTGCGGACATTGATGACACGAACGGTGAAGCAAACGATGTGTGCAAAGGCCTATGCAGAGAATCATATTAGTATGCGTCAATAGTATGGGAACAAAGGAGCTCATACTCAGCCTGGTTCAAATCCAATCCTAGTGTCATCAAATCTTGGCCAACGGCGAGACTTGCAACATCAGGACTCTCGCTGTGTATCATGCGCAGCAGACCCGCCAAACCGAACCTATCAAGTTCACTCATCTGTGCGAGGGGCGGTTGCTCAGTACTCTGGGGTGCACCAGAAACATCCTGTCCATCGCTACTTTCTGGCTGCCTTTGCTGTAGCTGTGGATCGCTAAAGTTACGCTGGCCTGGAAGCACACCATTGTTCAAGTCCTGTCGTAAAGTTAGTGCTGTGTAAAAAGACGAGCATACTTGTAGAAACCTACTTCTTTTTCTTGTCCCAAGATGCCATTGGGCGCTTGGCTGACTGGTGACCGCGACGTCCCCAGACCAGTTCCATAGCCCCCAAAACCTGCACCCTGCATCAACGAACCAGTCCGACCGAGAGGAAGCTCAGCAGCAGCATTGCGACCCAAAGGAGGGAATTCTTCAATATTGCCTGTCTGGGGCTGGCCACCAGCACCGAGTTGGCTACTAATACCCTGGCCACCATTTCTAAAGTCGTCAAGTCGGTTGGCAAACTGCGCACCAGAGGGAAACATGTCATCATGCGGTGGTTGAGATTGTTGAGGTGTGGGAAGACCCTGGGGTTGGGAGGAACGGGAGGGGGTTTGCGACGTCGGAGGGAGCTGTTGTCTTTGGACAGGTGTTTGCTGAGCAGCGCGTTGACTTGCGTTGGCCCACATTAGCTGACCAGGAGTTTGTGACTGTGATTGCTGTGATGCTCCTGATAGCGAAGGGAACTCCCTAGAATCACCGACCTCGTCAGTTCGGAGACAAAATTGGAAGACCTAGAGATACAGGAGACCACTGCAAACCATAGCAAGAGAGTACTTACGAGAGATCAAGTGGTGCCGTAGATTGGGACCCTCCAAGACTTTGCGCAAAACTTCCCATAGTCCCCATTGTGCGTTGTTGATTGCCCGGTAGGCCAGATGTTCCACTAACAGGTAGATTGAAGCTCCAATTCGCACCGCCGCCTATTGATACATAAGTTAGCATCCATTCACGAAAATAATCTTGTGTGTCCAGAAAGGATAACTCGAGGCAATCGCACCCAGTTTCCCGTTTGACAATCGCGCAGAGGTTAATGATGCAGTTCGAGCTTGCTGTTGCGTGGGGTGTCTCTCAGCGGCTGCGGGCCAGATCCTGACACAAATGTGCCAAGTCAGCACGATCGTCGCATCAAGGGCTGCTCAGGCCAACACCACAAGACAGGAATGTGCGGGCATGTCCTTGCAAATGTCTCGGTCGCAAATGTAAAACCATCTGGACCAAGGGTTGCGATTGGACTCCTCGATGCTTTCACAGTGCTTGGTAACTATCCCTACCAAGGAGAGTATACCCCAGCACAAGAGACAAGTCTAACTGTATATCAAGTACTCCGCGGAGGTAGGTGGAACGATAAGAAGGCACAAGGGTTTGCGAAGGCATTGAAGGAAAATGACGAACCTGGCCTATTCATAGTCGATATTGCTGAGGAATAAAGCAGTTTCCGATATCCCGGAATATTTCAAAAATCAGAAAAGAGGATTGGCCGAGTAATAGACCTGAAGTGAATCTGTGGAGGGGAGAGCAATCCACAAAGGCCTCTTGGTCACGCTTGATGCGGCGCTCCGCCGAGTAAGGTGAGGAAGTCGATTGGGCAGTTAGACGCGCGGGTACTGAAGAATGCACAGGCCAAGTCTGTAATTAACCGCGATGTGAGGCCTAAGAGGTAAACACTTAAAGATATCTTCGGAGAAGATATTTGAATTATTTTTTTTCTCGTTAAATTGAAGATAGAATTTAAATCAAAAGAAACAACATGACTTGAAAAAAAAAGGCTTGAAGAAACCGATGAACCCGAGGCTGGTAACATCCATGCTACTTGGTCTTCGGTGGCACGTGACCAGCCTTGCCGCCTTTGCGAAAAAGGCCATCAATCTCCGATCCCGACCGTCTTGGGGAAAGTCATCACAATCATGCAGCAGGTTCCACGCATTGCTAGCCGCCTGAGAGGGCTGGCTATGGCTGAATTGCCTCCCACTTACCTTGCACCATCACTTCACCCTTCCGTGACCCTGTCAGCCATTCAGTCTTCGAGCTTTTCTTCCACTGCTTCCGTTGGCGCCAACCCTCGACGCGACAAGAGCAAAAACCGTGGTGTATCGGCCATCAATCGAACCGGCCCCAGAACCCCATTCACTGTGTCAAGATGGCCATTGCCCAAACCTGTCTCACCGGCAGATATGAAGCCACGGGAAACAAACCCTAACCATGGACTCTGGGGCTTCTTTCCCCCTAACCGGGAGGCATTGCCTACCCCAGCCTATGACAACGCTCATGGTTAGTTTGATTGGTCTCCAATGTATATGATCAATGTGCTAGGAGCAATGTTGATGTTAGCAATCTAGGTCGTCCATGGGGTATCCAAGAACTCCGCGAAAAGAGTTGGGAGGACCTCCATGCTCTGTGGCATGTATGTGTCCGGGAACGAAACCGCATTATGACATCGGATTTGGAGAGAGAGAGACTCCAGGCCGGCTACGGACAATTTGAATCTCAGGAACGAGACAAAGTGGTGAGTTTTGGTCTGGCTGTAAAAGCCGTCTTGTTCATCTATATATACTTGTGGAGCTGCATGGAGACTTTTACTTCGTCACTTCCAAGATGACCTTCAATTGGCGACTATTATATGAACCCGACTGACTCATTTGATGTTAGATTCGAAGCACCATGAAGAACATCAAGCACGTTCTACGTGAACGCTGGTATGCTTGGGAGGACGCCTCACGAATGTACAAGCGTGGATACCGTCCTGAGAACTTTTACGGACTCGATGACGCTGAGTTCGAGCAGGAGGGCAAGGAGCAATAAGGATGAGAAGAGGGTTTAAAGACACACCTTATCGAGAGAGAGACTTAAACCGAGTCTCCAAGGGTCAATTTAGTATGTAACATTAGCTTTTTTTAAAATGATTATAGTACGCATGTCAAAGTATAGGTGGTCCATCCAACAAAAAAACTTCCTTTTTTATTTATATCCTAAGAATAGTTATTTGGCGATCATATTTACCCCTGAGAAAAAGGAATTTAAGCATATATATATTCAGGGGCTCATTGAAGCCAAGTTCTCCCGATTCATTAATATCGTGAGGTAACTCACTAGTGGCGGATCCGTCAAATAGTTCCCCTTTCTTACCGCTTCGTCCGCGGGGAGATAGTTCAACTTTCTCTTCTCTTTCTTTTTGAGTCTACTTTCTATCTTTTTCTACCTCTAGTATCTTCCATATTCACTATGGACGAGATTGCCCCAGAGTACGATGTTGTGGTGCTCGGCACTGGTATGTTGCTAACCCCGCCATTTCACCCCTCTTAAGGTCAATACTGACCAATTCTTTCAGGCCTGACCGAGTGTGTTTTGTCTGGGTAAGTCTTCGAGCTTGGATTTTAATTATTCCAGCATTTTACTTATACTTCTCAACAGTGTCCTCAGTGTGAAGGGCAACAAGGTTCTTCACATCGATCGCAATGATCACTATGGAGGGTAAGTCAAGCGGAGAAGCTTGCGATGACGGCACCAACCTTGGAAGATCAAAATAGCTTACAATGACTACAGAGAAGCAGCATCCATCAACATCGAAGCAGTATGTGCACCGATTAATTCTCAACTTCCATTATTGACACCCTTTGCAGCTGTTCAAGAAATACGGCAACGTCCGCCCCGGCGAGGAGCCATGGAAGAAATACGGAAGGGTCAATGACTGGAACATCGATTTGGTCCCCAAGCTCCTCATGTCCAATGGGGAGTTGACCAATATTTTGGTTTCCACAGATGTTACCCGATACCTCGAGTTCAAGCAGATTGCCGGCAGCTACGTCCAGCAAGGCAAGGGTCCTAAGGCGACCGTGGCAAAGGTGCCTTCGGATGCTGGTGAAGCTCTCCGCTCATCGCTCATGGGCTTGTTTGAAAAGCGACGTGCCAAGAAGTTCCTTGAGTGGGTTGGCGATTTCAAGGAGGACGACCCAGCCAGTCACCAGGGTATGTACCTTCAACCTCGGTTCGGCGGGGCTCATCAAAGCGGATAGCTAATGGAGACCAGGATTGAACGTCCATACATGCACAATGAAGGAGGTTTACGACAAGTTTGGTCTCGAGGATAACACTCGCGATTTCGTCGGTCACTCTATGGCTTTGTACCCCTCGGACGAGTATATCAACAAGAACGGTGCCGCCGTCGAAACCATTAACCGCATCCGCCTGTACGTCAACTCTATGGCACGCTACGGAAAATCGCCTTATATCTACCCTCTCTACGGCTTGGGCGAGCTTCCCCAGGGCTTCGCTCGTCTGTCTGCCATCTACGGCGGTACCTACATGTTGAACACCGACATTGACGAGGTGCTTTACGAAAATGGCAAGGTTTCCGGCATCAAGGCGACCATGAAGGACCGTGACGACCAATCCGAAGCCATGAAGTTCGAGACCAAGACCAAGAAGATCATCGCCGATCCTTCCTACTTCCCCAGCAAGTCTAAGGTCACTGGATACCTGCTGAAGGCTATCTGTATTCTGAACCACCCTATCGATAAGACCGACAGCAGCGACTCTGTGCAACTGATCATTCCTCAGTCCCAGGTTGGACGCAAGCATGGTGAGTCTTATACGGTCCCGATTTATTGACAGCGCACTGACCTCTCCAGACATTTACATTGCCATGGTCTCCTCCGCGCATAATGTCTGCCCCAAGGGCTACTACATCGCCATCGTCTCCACTATCGCCGAGAACGATGCCAACCACCACCTTGAGCTTGAGGCTGGCTTCGAGCGCCTGGGCAAGATTGAAGAGAAGTTCATGGGTCCCCCCATTCCTCTCTACGAGCCCACCGATGATGGCTCAGAGTCCAACATCTTCATTTCCAAGAGCTACGACTCGACATCCCACTTCGAGACTACGACCGGTAAGCTATTCCTCCATTATAAACCTATCAACTGTTAGCTTACCACTCCCCACAGATGATGTCCGTGATCTGTACCGCCGTGCCACTGGTGAGGAGTTGAAGGTTGAGGGTCTCCGGGAAGACCAGCAACTGGCCACAGAGTAAAGGCATCAATACTCGCCTTGCAATCGGATAATCTAGTACTGCTTAGATTGGTTGATTATATTTCTCTTGGACATTTCCGATAGTCTCTCTGTTCCGTGTGCGCCCTTCCCTATCATAACAAACGAAGCACAATATTTCTGGTCAACACTGGCATTAATTACACGCTCTTGCTCTTCGCTCGTACAATGGCTAGAATTTGGCACCTCTATTGACGCGAATAAAATCTATACAAATATCCAAGTAGCTACCTCCATATCCACCAAGAAGGAAATCAAATCCTCTGCGTCACCTCCGGGTCGGTATTGGCCTTCTCATGTTCACCAACCACACAAATATCACGACTATCCGCCTTCTGGATCTCAGCCCGAAGCAATGCCAACCGCTTGCCAACATGTACAACCTCACACACGAGACGCACCTCCATCCCCGTAGGTACAGGGCGTAGATAGGTCACCTTGAGATTGCGGCTAACACCTCCGAGAGCGAACTTGCCCGGCTCGGAAACGCCCAGCAAGATAGTAGTCGACAGAACATCGATTAAAGTAGCAGCACAGCCTCCGTGGAGGTTACCCATGTAATTACTCAGCGCCGGAGTGATCGTCAAGAGGAACGAGACTGTCGCCGGAGGACCGCGCGTTGCGGATTCGAAGCGAAGGTTACAGCCGCGGGCATCGACGTCCCAGTGCTTTTAGTTGGGATAAGGGTAAGCGTTGGAATTAAATTATGCGTAATAGCGGTGCATAGATGGGAGATGCGGTTCATTTGTTTCAATGCTGCACATGGTACTTACTCCCTCGCTCCCCACGCCCATTCGTCCCGCATACTCGTAGACAAGCTGCTCGAACTCGTCCAATTCCCTGGACGGAGCGCCTATTGCGTTATCTGACATGATCTCTGAGAGGAATTTTAAGTGCGAAAATCAATTGGGATTGGGGAAGAGGTGTTGGAGGGCGAAGAGCTACCATATGTAAGTACCCCGTAGCTCGGGATCACAGATGGACCTCGGCTGCCGTGGTCTCGGTCCTACAATCAGATATGCTTAAACCGAAACAATGCTTGAATTGAATATAACTGCGTACTCGTTTAGCTTTGTATTATATGTTTTGGTTTTTATTGATGTTAGTAAGGTGTAGGCCACAAAAAGTGAGCTTTGCAATCCATCACCCCAAAGATATATATCCAATAACAAATATCAACCAAAAAGAACATTTTCAGAGATATATTCAGAATATATCAAGGAAATAATTTCCATGTCTCAAATGAAGACTTCTGGACATGGAAAGCACCTGACTTCGCGTCACGCGTCTCGGCCTGAGGCGAAAATCGGCCAATTTGTTGTCCGGCCGACCCTTTGAACGCAATTGAACCAGGTCTTCTGCTCGGAGTTAAGAGAGGTTGCGCTTGCTAGCATTGATAAACAAATGCGCAATTGATTTCCTCACAATCGTAAGTCAATGCATTCGGGGCGAGCTCTTAGGTTCAAGCCGGTCGGCAATAAACAGTATTGAATCTGATTCTAACTGACACAGGCGCGATCACTTGTGCGACAGGACAACCGCGAGGGATCACCACTCTAAGTGCTTTGCCCGACGAAATTCCATCGTAATCGAATTGGACACTCCCCGATACCAGCGATTGCATCTCGTCAAACTACAGCCATGAAGGACGCCCAAGTATCTAAGAGGAGAAGGGTCTCCAAGGACATTGATGGAGACATTGAGATGGGAAATGATAACCAAGACGTATTCTCCGTCCCGTCATCTCCCAACAACAGAGCTTCTCCCACGCCGGTGAAAAGTGCATCACGACGTCGATCTAGCCGCGGCGAAGACAAACCAGACACTGAAACGACGGGCCAAGATGGCGAGGACGAGAAGGATGAAACACAAACCCCCGCACGTGTTGGAACACGGTCAAGTGGACGGCAGCGCAAAACACCAAAGAGGTATGAGGAAGAGGTCGTAACACCATCGAGGAGAAAATCAGCAGCCACTCCACGAAGCGCGCGTGCCAGCAGAAGCGCGCAAAAGCCGCGCCAATCTCCAGCGGAAGACGACGAGCCTGAATCCGAAGAAGAAGATGACGAGGAGGAAGAGGAGGATGACGATGATGAAATGGACCTCGATGAGTCGTCTCCGGAACCTGCCCGTCGTAAAGTTACAAGGACCAAGTCGAAAAGAACTGCTGCGAGGGCCACCCCGAGAACCACGAGAACTGCACCGAGAACTACCGCAAGAACTACGACGAGAACCAGATCCAGGAAAGTTGTGGTTGTAGAGCCGAAAGAAAAGTCGGCTTCGCCTGAGTATCAGGACGGCTTGGATGACCTTGTTACCATGCAACTCCCGGAAGATCTTTATCAACAGCCGGAGGCCCCAGAGACTACGGATGTCTCCGAGCCGTTGCCAGAGTATGTGGAAAGTTTCCAAGAGCTCTGCAAGACGGGACTTGAGGACGAAGTCCGTATTCTCTCGACTATTTTGCTCGAAAAGCTGTCAGGGAGACGACAAATCCCAGTGCGAGGACTTGAACCTGAATACCAGAAAGTTCATCAGCTCATTGAACAGACGGTCTCCATCGGTGAGGGTAACTCCATGCTTCTTCTTGGGTCCAGAGGATGCGGCAAGACCGCCATTGTGGAATCCATCATTTCATCCCTTAAAAAGGAGCACAGCAACGACTTCCATGTCGTGCGTCTCAATGGATTCTTGCACACAGATGACCGGCTCGCTTTGCGAGAGATGTGGCGTCAACTTGGCCGTGAGATGCATACCGAGGACGATGCAGCCAAGGTCAGTTCTTATGCGGATACCATGGCGACACTCTTGGCGCTATTATCGCACCCAGAGGAGCTCTTCGGGGCTTCTGGGGACCCAGGATCAAAGACTGCTGCGAAATCCATCGTGATCTTGCTGGATGAGTTCGACCTATTCGTCACTCATCCACGACAGACTCTGTTGTATAATCTGTTTGATATTGCCCAGGCCCGCAAAGCCCCCATCGCCGTCATTGGACTCACCACAAAGGTCGACGTAACTGAAATGCTTGAGAAGCGTGTTAAGAGTCGATTTAGTCATCGATACACTTACGTTCCTCTACCTCGATCCTTCGAGACATTTTCAGATATCTGCCTCGGGAGCCTGGATCTCAGTGACGCCGAAATGGCCGATGTCGTAAATGAACTTGGGTCTGACCGCACTCTAGTCGTGTCTGACAAATGGAAGTCTCTACTCGAGGGATGGAAGGAATATTTGAAGGTAGGATCCATGATATTTTCCTTTATCCGGTCAATTGGAACTTCGCTAACCCTCTTGAAAATAGCATATATGGAATGACAATGAATTCCAATTCCACCTCAAGCGCATCTACAACCAAACCAAATCAGTAAAGGAGTTCTTCAACAGCGCCCTTCTCCCCATCAGCGACTTGCTACAAAGTGTCTCGACCGTCGACACACCCATCCCCGAAGTCCCAACCCCGAAAAGCTTCGCTTCCCAGTCCCTCGATTGCCCCGACCCAGCACCTCTCCCCTTCTCTACATCCATCACATCATCCAGTCCCTCCTCATTGCCACTGGCTTTGTTGGTTGCTGCAACCCGCTTGTCAGCCCTATTCGACCCCGGAAACGACGGGTCCCAGTCACATACCATGGGACCACTTGCGCTTTCTTTCCCCGCCGCATACGCAGAATACGTTCGACTCCTCACCTCCGCAAAGATATCCGCTTCAGTGTCAGGAGCTGCTGCCACACCAGGCCGTGTCTGGGGTCGAGATGTGGCCCGGGAGTCCTGGGAAAAGCTGCTGAGCTGGGGACTTGTGACTCCCGTGGGCAGTGGGAATGGCACTGCTGACGGACAGATGTTCCGTGTGGAAATCAGTTTCGAGGAGGTCATTGAAATGGCTGGCTCTGGAGGCGCTCTGGGCCAGTGGTGGCGTGAATAGACCTGTCAGCATTTTGGATATATTGCGAGCATGCATTATTGTTGCGTTATTTGCGGCGGGAGGCATATCATTTGGCTGACTATCTAGTCTATCTGAGTGGATAGTCGGAATACATAATTAATTTCCGGTCATTCTGGAGTCATTCTTGAATTGATATCGAGTCCCCGTGTTCTTTAGTATCCTAGTAAGAAGAAAGCAAGGGAAAATCAAAACGCAATAAGTCCCCGGGAATTCTATGAAACTCAATTCAGCCCTAGGGAAACTATAGTGATATACGCCGAACTCAAGTATCGGATATATCAAGACGCCATACAGGAACAACCTTGGACCACGGCGTACTCCGTATACAAACTAAGCAATGCTCTGATTTAAGTTATTAGCAATCACTAGTCTTCAAACCTTCCATTGAAATCTGCCGATCCTTTTCTGATTAATAATCCCTGCTTTTGCTTTGTATGCATGTTCCCCAACCCTAGGAGTAAAAGGGTGTCCCAGACAATTTCAAAATAGGCCGATTCTTCAGAAAAAAAAAAAAAAAAAACAAGACAAAGTAAAGGGTTAACCTTGCATACTCCTAACCTTGCATATTCTAGTTTTTGTTTCTAAGGCAATGGTTTCAAATTCCTTGATGTGAAAGGCAAATAGTTTACGTATACTTAAAGGAGCATGCAATGCTGTGCATCTAGATTTCTGGCAACGGCATTTCGATGTGGGTTGCCATGTGTTGAAAATGATAGGTCTAATTCTCATGTCATTACCCAGAAATGGAAAGGAGGGGGCTGGCTGCACATCACTGGGGTACCATGTGAAATATGCAAAAGCAATTCACATTAGGTTTGTGTGGATTTGAAGAAAAAGGACATCCATCATACCTGTACGGACGGAGCATGAATATTATTTCTGCACAAAAGAGGATGAAGGCAAAACAGGCAGCAATAAGTTTTACTCCTACACTTGCATGTCCAGGTGGCTTGATGTGTGCGGAAGTACGGATGAAGTACGGAGGAAGTACGAAGTATACCCTGTCTAGTCTTCACGCTAGCCGTTAGGAATCGCGCTCATAATGCAGCCTGCAGATCGTTTTGGACATGTGTCTGGTAAGCACCTCCGTACATGTGTCTATGGAGTACATGCGCAAAGCCTGCATTTAACCAGAATACCTTGAAACAGGCGTGTTTCATCCGTAAATAAAAACGGAACATTGTACAACATTGCAAGGGATTGGGCCGCAGGCTTCCGGTCGAAGATCTGCAGAAAAGGCGTCTAGACTACCCCGCTTTAAGGGCTAATCCCTTCGTTTTCGCATTCAAGTTTTTGTTGATATCGGAGGGTTATCTCAACTCGGTTAATCCTATAGGAGTTTGACGCTATTAGGTTTTTAAGATATGATATCCTTGTCTGCACTCCGTACGGTATATGCGTACAACGTATGTTGTATTTCGATTTACATACTGTGTATCATTATCAATCGGACAACTTCCGTCTTCCCCACATACGATCAAAAGACCTAGGCATGTTGAATGGGCTGATGTGGAGATAGTTCCGTAGTAAAAGAGGTAGACTATCTCGATGGCATTGGTATTCAAGTTAGGTATAGTGTATAGATCCCTGCAATACCTTATATCTGTACAGTATTATATACAACTCTTCCCGTTGCGAGGTTATCTGCATAGGTTATTTTATGATCATACCATGCGAGTGACCGGATGATCCCGTAACTTGATCAACTCAAGTGGGTGAAACAAAGCAGATCACTCTGCATTCGTCAGGGCCACATGGACTTGGAATCTCCACAGCCAAGTTTATGATGCCTGTCATCAGGTTTTATGTTGGCAACTACAGTCCGAATAGTAGACCGCTTATACGGCCTTGTGTCTCTTTATAAGCTTTTGTAATAGTCTTTCTGGACTTTCTGAAACATTTTCCCGGGACAAGTTATTCATAAGTCCAAGACCAAAGGTATCCTTGACAAGACCCTTCCTAAAACCTTCACGGAAACACCCGCTCCATCCTTGCTAAACTGGGGAGCCAACCTTGAAAAAAGGCCGGTTTAGGAATAGCAGGAAACTTGGTACCCACTGGGAGTATGCGAAGCGAGTGGAGGATTGGGCTTAGTGCCAAATATTTGGATTTTGCGTCCCTAGAGTCAGAGTGACGCAGCATGTCGGCATATGTGGTGTGGTAATAGCAGTAAGTAATGCCGATGGCATCGAGCATATCAGAAAGGGAGTCGCCGCCCTTGTACTATCTGTACGAATTGGGGGATTGAGCCCTGGTAAGTCAATGCGTATGAACTATATATATCAGTACCTGTTTCTATCAAGTAGTTGAGGGAATAATAAATCTCGCGCAGAACCCGCTGTCGGTTCAACAAGTAATTCACCCGACATATTCAACGAAAATAAAGCTATAGAAGTTGCTGGTGAATTACTGCTTTCTTTTTGATGATAGGTAGATCAGGAGGACTTATTGTCTCTTTCCGCACTTTACGGAGAAGTGCTTTCCTAAATAGGTGATGATGTGAACCTTCCAATGAGCAAAGAAAGATTGGAAGAAACCCCTTGAAAGGTCCTGAGTTTGAGATATGAGGATCATGATGACTTGATAATGAAATAATGTCGAACTTCATTTCACTTCTTTTTCTGATACCCAAGCTCACACTATTATCTTCTTTTGATTTTAAATAGTAGCCTTGCTTAAGACCTCTAAGATGTTTGGAGAATACAAAACTCTGTATCCCTCACCAAATTACAAATATAACCGTCAACATGCGTGGCTTTGCCAAGGGCTTCGTCCTTTCTCACAATACCATGCCAATCTTATCATCGATGTCATTTTGAACGAAAGGGCCCTGCGGTCAACTGTTCAACGAATAGACGCGTTGAATGACAAGATGAGAGCTGCGCAAAAGCTTCCAAGCGACGACAACTCAGAATTCGACAAACTCGAAGAGGAGTTGGCGAGACTCAAAAAAAGTACGTGTCAATCAAATGCTGAAATTCTACGAAGACGAATGCTTCCTCGGTACGGGATCATTGAGAAAGGGCTATAAATCGGTGAAGAGCAATCCTGCTTGGTATCTCCGGGAAGAGCTTGTGAAAGACTGTATTGGCAGAGGAGGTTGCTGTCGCTGGCAATGTAGATGCTGTGAGAGACGTCGATTATCTGCCAAAAATGGGAAGGGTATTGGGCATTGTACCGTTGAATGTATGTGCTGTATACATGACCGAGGGTCGGAGTGTACGGCGGCGGAGAAGAAGGGTATTGATGACAGATTTCGTCAGATGCTTCGGTGTAATAATCCTTCCTATCTTTTAAGGATTGGAAATGCGTACTTTTCGAAGCCTCTTGTCTGGAAAATCAAGACCAACAAGACTTAAGACTTGATCACTCGACATTTGGTTGCTTACGTTTATTGTCACTTGATAGTTCTATTGGTGTCTACGAAGAATGAGCGGGAACTATGAAAAGAGTACTTTATGGGTATCTTTTGTTTCTTTTAAGAAAATACTTGACTTGCCCTTACTTCCCATTTCTTGGATATACTATTGGAAGATAGCAAATGAGACCCTAAAGCAAGTAACATATTGGAAAGCTACGAAGAAAGGGAGAAAATGAGTAAATGCTGTTTTACGATAATAATAATCCACTGCTTATGCCTGTGACATCTTTTTAGTAGCCTTGTCTTATTTTGGATATTTCCCCTCCTGTTAGTGTTAGTCGCGAAATATAGAATGTATGCGGAAAGTCTAACCTAAAGATGGCTTTCATATGTAAAAACCAGTGATTCCCAGTGATTTAGCTAGCCAGTCAGAAATGGCAGGAATATCAGGCTAACCAGGTAGGGTTGTAGCTGCATATGAAAGTCGGCTGTCTCTCTGTCACCGATGTTTTGCCGATCTGCCACGTGGACTTCAAGGTCCTTTGTTTCAGTGTGGCTCTTCTGCCGTGTGTGGTGAAGGTGGAGTTAGTGGGTACAACATATATGGATAAACGGAGAGGATGTTGTACATTAAATGGTATAACCTATCGGAGATTTTACTTTCTCGTTTTCCGGTCATTCGTACTATACATCGTAGATCAGATATAAGATCAATATGGATGAGAGTTTTGCTTATGAAGGTCTTCCCTTAACTGTTTCATATACAATATACTGCATATGTATTCTCGTTAATAAATACCTATTTAGATATTCAAAGAATCCTTCGTGCGGTCATGCATAATTTAGTAAATTAACACTTTGCCAAGCCTTCTTCTGCCATACGCCAAGTTCAGTTTTCAGGAACAGGAAAAGGACCACAAAGAATCAACACCAGAAACAAGGTTTTTCCAATATATTGCCCCTTAATCAATAGAAAGGGGAGCCCTGGAGCAACAAGAAACAGGAGAAACACGAGCATTCCAAGGTTTCTATGGTGTCCCACTGAACCATGGAACAACGTGGCTTCTAGCGTCTTCTGGAATCCTTCTAGAAGGCTTCTAGCGTTTCAAAAGTTTTTGCCACCGGAGTTCGCCGTATATCCCCAGGCCCAGCGGGGCAGTATGGACGGTATGTCCCAAATTTCTAACATGATTCATGTCATATTTTAAAGGTTTAATTGATAGTCTATGACGTGGTCCACTCCTGCACTATCTGTTTTCAGCAAGTGGAGTCGATCATGAATGGGCCGTCAAATTCCTCGTATTTTATATACAAGCTGTATCATACATAGTATACGCGTAAAGCAAACACGGGCAAAAGGGACGTTACTACAAATGGACTAAAGGACCTCGGGGTGATGTTATCTACGGAGTATACTTTAGCCATTTCCATTTACGTGAGCAGAAACAAAGTTCAAACTGACCACATGGAAGAATCTCTCTTATCTACTCGCTAATGAGTTGCCCTCACCGACTCGGAATTTCTCATAATCGGGACGTCCGAGAACAACTGATCTTCATGTCTGAGCGAGTCAAAAGTACACTACTAAAAGCCACAAATTTGTCGACGGTTTCAAAAA